CGGGGGCTCCGCTCTCCCCTCAGCAGCCAGAGCGCTGGGGGCAGGGCGGCGAGCCCCGGCGGGGGCTCGGCTCTCCCTCCGGCGGCCAGAGTGCAGGGTGGCGAGCCCCGGCAGGGGGGAGGGCGGCGAGCCCGGCTGTGGCCCCGCTCTCCCCGGCGGCCGGAGCGCCGCGCCGCCCCCCTCCAGGTGCCGCCCCAAGCACCAGTTTGGTTGCCTGGTGCCTGGAGCCGGCCCTGGGTAGGAGTAAGCGCCATCGACGGGGGAGCCGTGGCGGTCGATTTGCCACCGTCCTCACAGCGGGGTAAGTCGGATCAGATACGTTGAATTCAGCTACACTATTCCCGTAGCTGAATTTGCGTATCTGAAATGGATCCCCTCCCCCCCCAATAGTGTAGACGTAGCCTAAGTAAACTGCCCAAAATCACACAGGAAAACCTACTGATTCCCAGGTACTTACTACCTTCTCCATATATCCTGTACATCTTAGTACTGACCTTTCTCATCAACAATCTGCCAAATTCAGTTTTGGATGGATTTGGATGCATTATAGGTCCTTGATTTATGAGAGTGGTTCTCAACCAGGGGTACATGTACCCCTGGGGATATGCAGAAGTCTTCTAGGGGGTACATCAACTCAGCTAGATATTTGCTTACCTTTACAACAGGCTACATAAAAAGCACTGGCGAAGTCAGTGAAAACTAAAATTTCATACGAGTTGTTTTATACTGCTTTATATATGCTGAAATAGAAGTACAATATTTATATTCAAATTTATTTATTTTATAATTATATGGTAAAAATGAGAAAGTAAGCAATTTTTCAGTAATAGTGTGTTGTAACACTTTTGTATTTTTATGTCTGATTTTGTAAGCCAGCAGTTTTTACGTGAAATGAAACTTGGGGGTACACAAGACAAATCATACGCCTGAAAGGGATACAGTAGTCTGGAAAGATTGGTAGCGACTGGTGTGACTCTGTACCCCATAATGGTTTATGGGAATATGACATAACTGGAATATGTTTTGTGCTGCCTGTGCCATGTAACATATCTCTGTAAAAGTTATGGTCTACTAGATCTAGTCATCCTATTTGTACACATATATCATTTTGTACTTGAGGTTAAGAATATTGGCTGTATACTTGCTTGACTCCTAAGTAAGCTTTGTGAGGCATTTGGTCAGCTTCTTTAGGAAGGAATACGCAAGGTTAAGTACCCGATCAGGAAGCACTTGGGGAACAATGCATTTTGGAATGCTCCAATCCACATAAGAAGTCTTCCTGGAGACATACAAGATACCATGTAGACAATGGCTTCTGCCTGTAAAGACTGAGTCATGCCTGGACATGCGACTTGCCCAGGTGACTCCAGAACTCCATCTTGGAGCTGGACTTTGCATAGGAGTGAGGAGGGGGGGTCTCCACCCACAAGAGAAAGTCTATTTAAACCCCTGGGAGACCCCTCCATTTTGTCTTCAGCTGTCTAAAGAGAGAGCCTCCCCACCCCCCAGCATACTTGGAAAAAACTGGAACAAAGGGGAGTGAGTGATTGCTGGACCCAGGCTAAAAGGAGATTAGTCTGTAAAAGGGAGCATTCTGGAACTGGTGAGGATCTCACCTGTATTCAGTTTGATTAGACATAGATTTGCACATTTTATTTTATTTTGATTGGTGACTTACTTTGTTCTGTCTGTTACTACTTGGGACCACTTAAATCCTACTTTCTGTATTTAATAAAATCACTTTTTACTTATTAATTAACACAGAGTATGTATTAATACCTGGGGGAGCAAACAACTGTGCATATCTCTCTACCAGTGTTATAGAGGGCGAACAATTTATGAGTTTACCCTGCATAAGCTTTATACAGGGTAAAACGGATTTATTTGGGAGTTGGGCATCTGAGTGCTAAAGACAGGCACACTTCTGTGAGCTGCTTTCAGGTAAACCTGCAGCTTTGGGGCAAGTAATTCAGACCTTGGGTCTGTGTTGGAGCAGACGGGAGTGTCTGGCTCAGCAAGACAGGGTGCTGGAGTCCTGAGCTGGCAGGGAAAACAGGGATAGAAGTAGTCTTGGCACATCAGGTGGCAGCTCCCAAAGGGGTTTCTGTGATCCAACCCATCACAACTGACATCTGGGCTTTACCAGGACCCGTGTTCTTATTTTAATTAGATTTTAAAACCATTGCCTTGTTGGTCAGCTTGGTACAGTTAGTATTACTGAAAATTGCTGAGATTTATTTCTTGCGATAATCTTGGTAGCAGTAGATTAAAGGAAATGGATACGGGAACAAAACATTATTCCTGGATTAGCATGTCCGGACTTAAGTGACCTGAATTCTGAGTCCCCAGAGTAGAATTTCTTACTCTTTGTCGAGAACATGACGGAGCTCTATCTGATATTTCCATGGCATACATTATCTTGTCATATACATGCTCTTCTTGGTATACAGTAGCATTCCAAAGTGCACTGAAGACTGAGGACCCCAGGAAACTCTTCTTGTAAACTATGTTATCATGAGTGATCTCAGTGGTCAGTTTCATTGTGATCTTAGTGGGCAGTTCCTGGACCTTGCTTTAATTAAGGAGATAATACTTCTGGTCCAGAAGAGTGCTAACTGGGTCATCAGCACTTTCATGAAAACTCTGGAGGTAGAGAAGAACACAAACTAAAGTACCTTGCGTTGATACTACATCACATGTAGATAGGCTTCATCCAGTCTACTGATATGAACACCTTTAAGCAAAATTGTTGCCACTATGTCATCCAATGAGGCCATGTGAAATTTCACGTTTCACATGTTTATTAGAAAATTCAAGAATAAAGCATTCTTGTGATGTGGAACAACTTGGAGGACCAGGAGTCATTCTGATTACCTGCTATTGATTTACCTCCTTGTAGTTCTGATATATCTCTTTGTTCTCATTCCTGCCTCAAAGCAGAGAGAGAGACAGAGAAGCTCGCTAGGACTCTGGTGCCCAACCACCAGTCTGAGGTCTCCATTCTAGAAGAGGAGCAAGAGCCCATAGCTCCTTAGCGGGTCTTGTAATCTTCTAGTTCTGCATGGCCTTGCCTGAGCTGGGATAGACACAGAAGAACCTACGAAAGGTCACTTCTGCCCCTACCATATCCCTGTCTCCTTTTCTGCTTCAGGGAAGGAAAAGGAAAATATGAATAGCTTAGGAGGCCACTCTCCAGTTCAGCTGGTAGTGCTTTAGTTAGGTTAGGAAGAAGGAAGAACAGAAGTAGTGAGGGAAAAAAGAGAAAAAACTTAGTGGGGTAGAAAGGCTTGTGATCCCAAGATAAGCTAAAAATGGGCAAAAAGCTCAGGGAAGCACTCTAAGGGGTTGTTTCTAATATGGAGGCACAACATTTTGGTGGGCTATCAGTGACCCTGCAAGGTTCAACTGTGAATTCCTGTCTCTCCAAAGGCCCATACACTGTGAGGAATTGGCCATGCATGCTTTGGCTTAAGAAAATAGTTGCTGACTGTACAAACTATTGCTAAGGTCTTCATTAGTGGGAGAAACACTGTTCTCAGAACTCACATAACCTGCATTTCTTTTGAAGTGTAATTGAGAATTTTTTAAAGAAGAGACCAGTTTGGAATCTCAAATCAGCAAAAGAATCTCTTTAGAACAGACTTAAAAAATACCAATTACATTTTAAAAAGAGTTCATGTACATACTAAGTCTCCATGACTGTGCACATCTTCAATGAATCAATTTGCTGATTCCCACTCTTATCAAATTCAAGCCTCTCCTCATTTTCATGGTTCTCCATAATGTCATCCATGTTTACATTTCTACACTTATCTTCTCCTACAATGCCTTCTCTCTTTTCTGCCTGTTTCCTTCCCCCAATCCCATTTCCACACTTCTTTTTTGCTATACTTTTGAGCCTGAAACAACATATTCACGATTATACACGAACCAACTACTCTCCCCCTAAACAGACTACTAAATTCACCTATTATGAGAAGTATTCAGGTTCTAATGGCTAAGGCTCTTTATTTTTTCCTTGAAAATGTGCCACTTCCAAAAAAACCTGAACAAAACATCAAGTTTAATAGGGCAGCGTGAAATTTTAGACATTTTAATGAGCAGGATCAACCTAACAGTGCTTTATCAAGTTCTAGCAGTGCTTCAGTTCATACTTGTAGAAACAGGGCATTTCTATTCTCAGTTTAGTTTGTTGGGTCACTTTTTAAATCTCCAAGCATTAAAACACAACCAATTTTAATAAAAAAACTTCTTCGAAGTTCTACAATAGATATTTCATTCAATTGTAGTAGGCTGTATAGATCTGATTCTCTAAATACTAATGTAGGAAGTATTGGAAGGTTATTTTAAAGAGTTTTGCAATTGGCTGGCTGATAAAAACAACCATTCTGCTCCATGCAGTCAGGGAACTCCTAGGGACAACTCACGTTGGTGTTTTTCAAGCTCCATGCTTCTAGTACAGTGGCAAAAACCAGTCATATGCAAGATGAGCATTCACTTGGTCTATCTCAGGTAAGCATTTACAATGATGCTTAATGGGTGCACAATACATTTCCTTCTTAATGTTGTACTTGATATTTTGTGACAAATTTACATGGTCACATGCAGATCTCTTAAAAAAATGTTGTGGTTGAAATACTCTGCATGATCGAAAACAGCAAAAAAACGAAGTTCAACCTGTGATTATACCAAGAGAAGAAATTCTGAAGACTGGCCCTGAGCCTGCCAGATGTTACATCATAAATACTTACCAAATTAATTTACATAATTACTTAATAAATACCCCCTCCGTCCCCCAAAGGCTCTTATACTAGTAGAAACATGACAATTTGCCATTTTTAGCAGATACATTCCATACGCAATCCTAGACATATGAATATGAACCCAGCAGAGTTCACACTGGTGGTAATGAAAAACTTGCAAATTTTATCTAATATAGACATATTCCCTTCAAATTCTGGAGTATTCCCATGTAGACTTCCCTATACTTTAGCTACAAGACATAACTAAACAAAAATTATAGTAGTATTCAAGGTATCTAAGACAATTGGCAAGTACTTTTTAAGTACTACCAACAGGTATGTGTCCAGGTACATTAGAAATCAAGAGTTTTGAGTGGCATATTACCATATGTAAATGTTTCCATCAAATAAAGAAAAAACTTTTTTTAATCTTGTTGCATACATTTTACAAACCATAAAGCAGGTTGCAGCAGACTCAAGACATTTCTTCTCACACACTACTAGTGACTACATGTAGCTTTTACAATCATCTGGAATACTACAGGTAATGCAGCACATATATAGAGAGACAAATATTTCATTTTTATACTTCAGATATGGAAATATACTAAATTCCCAGATACAGCCACTTTTTTTGGTCTTCCTCAACATTTATGCTCCATGTACCATAACTCACACTGTTATTCTAGAGCCAGTAAAGTAGCCTAGGGTTTGCAAGTCATGAAGGAAACTAAGCCATTCAGAAGTGGAGGCAAAATTAAAAATGGCAACTATTTGAAAGGATTGAGACTTGCCCCCCCAACTTTCCACAGAGGAAACAAGAGTATTTGTAAGTATTTGAGACCCCTGGTTTCTTAAGATTTTTCCCTCTCCTACACTTCAGTTAGGTACCCCGCAAGTAGCTTAAACAATAAATCTTCCTTGCACGCAAGACCACTAAGAGCAACATGAAAAAGAGGGAAAAAGAAAGCAAGAAAACCAGGCCTTCTCTCCAAGAAAACAGTATTACTCTTAGTATTCAGATCTGTGGAATCAACCTCAAAGAACTCAGGAGCATAGCAGCTGACCACCCCCTGCACATTCACAACTACCCTCACATTTCTCAAGCGAGTGTCTGAGGGTTTTCATTGCACATGTGCAGCAGGTGAAACTGGTAAAAGGGAATTTCCTTTTTCCAGGTTTTTTGTTTTTCATGGCAGTCAGTGTCATGTTTTCCATAAAATCAGGAATTTCAGTGAAAATATTAGTTTAACACAGGGTTACACTTCTCTTTTCTTTCCTGATTGTCCAATGCATCTTCACTTGAGCTTCAGACTGTAAGCCCTTTGGGTCAGTGATCTGGATTGGTACTGACCTATTACTATCTAGTGTCCTGTACATTTACAATACTATATAAATGATTAAATTACCTACTAGGGTCCAAATTCTGATTCTCTTCTCTTTTCCCCTGCAACAGTTAATCTCAAACACCTATAAGGCGTGTAGGAAAATCATTTGCTTTAAAAAGATTTGTGAGGTCATTAACTTTTGCAGTGAAAAGAACCCCGAGCACTAGTTGTCTTTAGTAAAATCTACACAGATATGCTACTACTGAAATGAAAGCTTAAGAAAAACTATTTAAAGGCGAATTAAAATAGTATTTTAAAAGAGTTCCAAACAGTTGCTTTAAGCTCCTTCTGAAGGTACACTTTTGTCAGTCGTGTCTTTACTTTTAGCTTTTTGATAACAGTATGCGGGGGGAGGGGAGAGGTAGGGAAGAGAGAGGAAAACTGGATAGAATGCTCTTGGATCCCCCAAAGCAGTGTGCTAATTTTCATGGACATGCTACTTACACAAATCTTCGCACACCATTGTGGATACATACATGTTAAGCGCTTGTGGTTACTATACAAGATTAATGAAAATTAGATACCTATTTCAATGCCATCTATAGTAACATGAATGGTGTAAAGACCAACAGCTCCCGGGGTCCAATTTGCACAGTAAGTACCATCATTATTGACTCGGATCAACATGTTTTCACTGGGTCTAGACAAAAACAAAATAGACATTGAAATAATTAACCAAATGTTAACTTATTTAGAAGGCATTCCGCTGATTTATTTTCTGCTTTTTTCCCCTCCATATGCTCCCAAACTACACTGCCTTTTGTGGTCTACCAGGGACATTTCTATGGAAACAGGATCTTTGATCCACAGGAATTCATCAAATCAAGCCAGTTGTGCTCTTCAAGTTGTTTATTATGAAATCATAACCTTCTACAGTAATTGAATGTGATATCATATTCAGAAAGTGAATTTAGGTGAGGAATAAGCAATTAGAGCAAATAAACTAAGTATAAAAGATTGATTTTATGGAAACGTCCCAGTAATTTTAAGAAAAACGTGCTAGATTTTCACTGTTTTCCCCTACACAGAATATTTTTCAGAGTGTTGAAGTCTTAACAGTTCTTTAAACAGAAATTACAATAACTCTGCTGGAATAATAAGCCTATTCACATAAAGCTCTGATATTAACATGATTTTTAAAAAGTTGGTATAATATTTACTTTTAATTACAGTCAATTTGTAATTCTCTGCAAGACTGTTTTTTACCTTTTAGGTGTTGGTGAGGCAAAGCGTAATTCTTCAAATGAATAATTTTCATATACCTACAAAGCAGAGGATTAAAAAAATGTTCAGCTAAAACAAAATCAAAACTCAGTCAATGCTATTACACTACTACTGTAAACATTTTAAAATAAAAACAAAATAATTTCTCAAAACATGTTACTCTAATTGCTCACATAATATAAGTGTGGAATAGGGAACCAGAAATAGATACAAAGTGTACACAAAATACACATTTTTAAAGTGACCTTTTTATGTGAGAAAGGTAATTATTGCTCATGAAAGGTGCTGATTAATAGTGCTTTGGGCAGGGAGGGAAGAGTAAAAGTGTGCCCAGTTTCCACGTTGCTAATGCACCTGACCCCAATTCTGAAGGGACCATTCTCAAGTGGTAAGAAGGTAGCTAATCCTCTATCCATTCTTGATTCTCCTGCTAAATCTGCCAGCAAGGGTTTGAATGAGTGGCATTTATATGAGGTGGACACCTGTCAACTATGATCTGGAATGTGTATGAAGGCTCATTTCTTCTGTGGAAGAGTGAGGGCTAGGATGAAACAAGTAGGTGAATCTCTTGGTTGACATCAAATTCTGAGGAAACCTTAGGAAGAAAGCAAGACTGTGGATATAGTGTCACTTTGTCGTGCTAGAATACTAGGTACAGAGGGTCAGCCATCAAGGCTTCAAGTTCCCCCACTCAGTTCTACATCTTGTTCAGCCAATCGCAGAGACAAACAAGTTTGTTTACATTTACGGGAGATAACGCTGCCCACTTCTTATTTACAATGTCACCTGAAAATGAGAACAGGCGTTTGCTTGGCACTTTTGCAGCCGGTGTTGCAAGGTATTTACATGCAAGATATGCTAAACATTCGTAAACCACTTCGTGCTTCGGCCATCTTTCCAGAGGACATACTTCCATGCTGATGATGGGTTCTGCTCGATAACAATCCAAAGCAGTGTGGACTGTTGCATGTTCATTTTCATGATCTGAGTCAGATGCCACCAACGGAAGGTTGATTTTCCTCTTTGTTGGTTTGGGTTCTTAAGTTTCTGCATTGGAGTGTTGCTCTTTTAAGATTTCTGACAGCATGTTCCATACCTTGTCCCTTTCAGATTTTGGAGGGCCCTTCAGATGCTTAAACCTTGGGTCGAGTGCTGTAGCTATCTTTAGAAATCTCACATTGGTACCTTCTTTGCGTTTTGTTAAATCTGCAATGAAAGTGTTCTTAAATCGAATAACATGCTGGCTCATCATCTGAGACTGCCATAACATGAAATATATGGCAGAATGCGGGTAAAACCACAGAGCAGGAGACATACAATTCTCCCCTATGGAGTTCAGTCTCAAATTTAATTAACACATTTTTGTAATGAGCATCATCAGTATGGAAGCATGTCCTCTGGAATGGTGGCCAAAGTCTGAAGGGGAATATAAATGTTTAACGTAGCTGCGATGTAAATATCTTGCAACGCCAGCAACAAAAGTGTCTTTTGAATGCCTGTTCTCACTTTCAGGGGACATTGTAAATAGGAAGCAGGCAGCATTATCTCCCATAAATGTAAACAAATTTGTTTGTCTTCGTGATTGGCTGAACAAGAAGTAGGACTGAGTGGATTTATAGGCTCTAAAGTTTTACACTATTTTGTTTTTGAGTGCAGTTATATAACAATAAAAAAAATCTACATTTGTAAGTTGAACTTTCACGATAGAGATTGAACTATAGTACTTGTATGAGGTGAATAGAAAAATACTATTTCTTTTGTTTATCTTTTTTACAGTGCAAATATTTGTAATAAAAATGATAATATAAAATGAGCACTGTTCACTTTGTATTCGGTGTTGTAATTGAAATATATATGAAAATTTAGAAAAACATCTAAAAATACTTATAATAAATTTCATTTGGTATTCTATTATTGTTTAACGGTGCAATTAAAACTGCGATTAATTGCAAATATTTTTTTTAAATCAAGTTAATTTGTTTTGAGTTAATCGCTTGAGTTAGCTGCAATTAATTGACAGCCCCACTTAAAACCCAAGCATAAGACATGAGACAACAAGGTGAATACAAGCAGGCAGGCGGGGGAGCATAAGGAAACAGAAAGACTACTGGTCAGCATGACAGGCAATGGTGTCAGCTCACCAGCTGTCTAACCACTGTCAATTTTTTTGTAGGAATCATGGCAAAGAAGAGTTTTATGGAGGGATTTGACGGAGAACGGACAGTTAGCTTTGCAGATGTTTATGGGAAGCTCCTCCCAAGTGTGAGGGGCTGTATGAGAAAAAACACAAAGGTACTTATTTGAAAATTTAACAAGTGGATGATGAAGACTGGCATCATAAGCCATTTGGAGACAGGAGTTAACATTTCGATAGCATATGAGAGATGATAGGTAGGGTGGAGACAGGCCATGAAAGGGATGGAAAGTGAAGATAAGTAGCTATGCTGGAAGTTTCCATGAAAAAAACCCTAGAATCTGAGACTTCCTGATCTCTTTATGCCTGAGGAATTTGATGAGGAATTATATAAATTATGTGAAGTAGCAGGATGACAGCTCCTCTAGCCAGTGCCAAGAATACTGTCCAGTGCCATGCTTCCTCCTCCTTTTCAGGAAAGCCAAAAGAGGGTCCTGACGTCTAAGTGTGATGCTGGTAAACGAGGTGCCAGCTCTGGCCAAGTCTGTAGGCATCGACTGAGCACTGACAAATTCATAGCTGGAAAGCACACCAGCTCACTTATATGTCAATATGGTTCAAGACAGGTGTTAGACTTATAAGGAGGTGTTTAGACCAGTGGTTCTCAACCTATAACCATTGTGGGCCACATATGCAGCTCTCTGTGTGTTGTGTGGGCAGCATCCACACTATATATACACACACATACATATATATATATATATATATATATATATATACACATACACATATACACACACACATATACACACACACACACCCTGTATGGCCCTGAGGATATCACATGGGCCACAGCTGTGTGCTGACTGGGCCACAACCAGTACACGGGCCACAAGAACAACCACTGGTTCAGACTATAAAATGCTCATAAGTTGCTGTATGTATTAAGCTTACTTGTAACGTCTGTATTTCATGCTACAAAGTAAAATATAAGTTTGTTTTATAATTGTAAAAATGTCTGTTCTGAATTTGTGAACTCAGATGGGACGCGTCTCCCCCTGCCCATCTAGGAGGGCTATCAAAATTAAGTGGGCCATTGTAGGACAAAAGCTTTGTTGATTGCCCTATCCACCCATTGAAAGTACATGCAGAAGGCCTTGTCCCATTGGTTTGAATGCTGGAAGAGGGAAATAAAGATAGTTGACATTAAAGTTTTTCATCTCTTTGCTGTTGGACTCTTATAAGGGCTAGATCTAAGAAACAAAAAGTAGAGATCTTCAAGGTCAACCAGGGTTAGCCCTGAAAAGACATTCAATGCTGACTGATTACTACATCTCTGTCACCTTTTGGAACCATATGAACTCATTTGTGCATATATGTTGCCTGCTTTAACCTGTAAATAACTCTCTCATTTCTTCTTTCTAGTTAATAATCCTTAATTAGTTTACTATAAGATTGGCTACAAGAGTTGTCTTTGGCGTCAGATCTAAGCTATCAATTGATCTGGGGTGACTGGCCTCTTGGGACTGAGAGCAACCTGAATATTTTGTGATTTTGGGGGTGACCATTTATCTCTATGACCAGCTTGCCTGCGTGGCAAAATAGACTGGAGTGCCCAAGGGGACTGCCTGTGACTCCATGGTAAAGTCTGTTATAGTGATCCAGGAGTTCATATTTGTTACTGGCTTGGTGAAATTTAATTAAAGAATATACTACCAATTCGGGGTGCCTGCCCTGTTTTTGACAGTCTGGAATAGGCACACTCAGTCATAAACCACTCCAGACAGCATGACACTAAAAATAAGATGTCCCTGATTGAACTGAAAGACTGAAGCAAAGGAACCTCTAAACTGATGACATTCTTCTAAAAATATTGCTCTTTAAATTTCACCATTGACAAGAAAATCTTGGCATGCATGGGAGGGTGTTTTTGTTTGTTTGTCTGAAAGAATGTCCTGAAAACTAAAGCTGGCTTCTGCTCCATAGGATTCAGACACTTAGCAGACAAGACACATCACACTATCCATTGTCTACAGCCAAGCCCTAAGATACAACCGAATTTGCTCCAACCCCTCAGACAGAGACAAACACCTACAAGATCTTTATCAAGCATTCGTAAAACTACAATACCCACCTGGGGAAGTGAGGAAACAGATTGACAGAGCAAGACGGGTACCCAGAAATCACCTACTACAGGACAGGCCCAACAAGGACAATAACAGAACACCACTGGCCGTCACATACAGCCCCCAGCTAAAACCTCTCCAGCGCATTATCCACGATCTACAACCTATCCTGGAAAATGATCCCTCACTCTCACAGACCTTGGGAGGCAGGCCAGTTCTCGCTTACAGACAACCCCCAAACTGAAGCAAATACTCACCAGCAACTACACACCACACCACAGAAACCAATCCCTGTAGCAAACCTCGTTGCCTACTCTGTCCCCATATCTACTCTGGCGACACCATCAGAGGACCCAACCACATCAGCCACACCATCAAGGGCTCATTCACCTGCACATCCACTAATGTTATATGCCATCATGTGCCAGCAATGCCCCTCTGCCATGTACATTGGCCAAACCGGACAGTCCCTCCGCAAAAGAATAAATGGACACAAATCGGACATCAGGAATGGTAACATACATAAGCCAGTAAGTGAACACTTCAATCTCCCTGGTCATTCTATTACAGATTTAAAAGTCACTATCATCGAACAAAAAAACTTCAGAAACAGACTTCAAAGAGAAACAGCAGAACTAAAATTCATTTGCAAATTTAACACCATTAATCTGGGCTTGAATAGGGACTGGGAGTGGCTGGCTCATTACAGAAGCAGCTTTTCCTCTCCTGGAATTGACACCTCCTCATCTATTATTGGGAGTGGACTACATCCACCCTGCTTGAATTGGCCCTGTCAACACTGGTTCTCCACTTGCGAAGTAACTCCCTGCTCTCCATGTGCCAGTATATAATGCCTGCATCTGTAACTTTCACTCTATGCATCTGAAGAAGTGAGGCTTTTACCCACGAAAGCTTATGCCCAAATAAATCTGTTAGTCTTTAAGGTGCCACCAGACTCCTTGTTGTTTTTGTAGACACTTAGCAGGTAAGCCCAATTTCCTTGGAATGTAGGTAGGACTAGAAATATACATGTTCCATTTTTATGATGATGAATCTGAAAGACGAGGTGGCTTCAAGGCTTCTTACAAAAGGAAAACCTTCATACAAATCTCTGACCTTATGAGCTTTAGACATAAAGGCCACAAATACAGTCCACTTTACTGAGGAGTGTCCTCCTTCAAGGATGCAGCAGCATTGAGCACTTTAGACTAGAAAGGGGTGGGAAACTGTTTTCTGTCTCATCAATATCTTCAAGAAGTTGAAATTTTTTCCTATTTTAACGTCAAAATCTTGTAAAATATTTACAAACGGAAAAACTGATTTTTTGGGGGGTCAAGTGAAAAGGTTTTTTTGGACTTTTACCTTTTCTTCCTTTCTTCCCCAGTCTAATTAGCTCAAATTTCTAAATGGAAAGTTTTTTGTTTTTGTTTGAAAGAAAAGAGCATTTTCCATTTAGAAAATGTCAAAACAAAAAACTTTTTCTTGACTTTTTTGAGCCAGGAAATTGGTCAAATCCAACCCTGTTTCTTGAATCCTTTTGGTTTAAACAAATTCACATTTTTTGATGACAAGTGATTTGTCAAAATATTCCTGACCAGCTCTACTTTGGTTCACAGCAGACAACTTAATGTCACTCCACAAAATTTTTAAAATCATTTTGATTTTTGTAAAAAAGCAAAAATCTCTAGAAAGAGCAATTATATGTGATTCCATAAATCCAAATACCCCAGAATAGAAAGAGAGGTATAATGAATAAAATGAGATTTGCAGATCTTTGTATTCACTCGTATATAGTCCCTTTTTTTTCTACATGGAGAACAGAATAACTGTCATTGCTGATATGACAATAATTTACCTTCATCATTGTAATAGCAATGTAGCGAGCTTCTTTCACTATCATAGGTTCATATGAAGCATCAAGTTTTGGTGAAGGATGTCCTCCAAAAGTCATATCAGTGCCAGAGGAAGTAGGTGGTGCAGGACTGCCTGGTATCCGTTGGAGTTTTTTCAGTTGTTCTTGTTGCAAAGATGTTTTTTTCTGTGAAACAGGAATAGCCTTGACCTCCACCTGCCAAAATGCAATAAGAGGTGTAAAGATGATTAAAATTTTTATTGTCCCTCATTTCCATTTTCATATTATTTTTAAACTACTTACAATCTCACCTCAACATTTCCACTACCACTTTCCCGAAATGCCTTTATTTCCTCCTCCGCAAACTCTCCATCTCTTATTGAATAACTCTTCCACTCTGCATATTAATGGTTGGAGCAACTTCTTCAGCAACCCCATTTGGGTCTAAAAAGCCTCTCACCCCAACAGGACCTCAGCCCCACCTCACCCCACTCCACGTACCTGAATTTCTGACAAGTACTATTTGCTATGCAACTTTCAGATGAAGAGTAAACAAATAATCTGGAAAATGAGTTGATTTTTTAGTATTTAAGCTCTAAAATGATTGAGTCCATCCCAGCACTGATTATAGTGCAATTAATCTGAACATGAATCTGTTAAATGGGATTTTGGCTTGAACGGGGAGTGCTGAATAAATGGATACCCATGGACACCTGCAGTCAAGTTAATTTAAAATGTCACTGATATTAATACACTCAGTAAGGAAATCACAATGAAATTAAAAATCCAGAAATTACTTTTGCAGCAGGGATCAACATTTCCTTTTCCTTATCACTGGTCTAGGACCACTGCTTTCAGACAAGTTTCCTGAAGTGTTTTTAAGACTCATTTCCAGGAGTCTACAACCACAAACTATAGATTGATTCGACAGATATAAACTTTTAACTGTGCCATCAAGTTATGCACATGGCTAATCTGAATCTCATGTGGTCTTACTGTTATGGCCTTACCTTCCCATCATCCATCTCTCTCTATTTTATGATACCCTCACTTATTATATCACATATAAGTTTAGATTGTAAACTCTTCAGTAAAGACCCACGTATTTCTGTTCCTTTCTGAGCCATGTTGTTTCTTTTCTGTACCTAGAACACTTTGGGGTTCAGTAAATAAAAGTCCTGAAAACATTTGTACTAGGCCAAAGTGATACTGGGACATTAAAATGTAGATGAAACCTGACTTCAATTATTTTTATTTTTTTGTTAATTTTGAATTTCTCTGAATAATTCTATTACACTTAAGTAAAAGTTAATATTTGAACAATTTCTCTAGCTCCCTTTCACAGGAATTCTGGGAAGAAATTGGGTTCCAACTGCTGCTGTCACAAGCAGTTTTGTATGCCAGGATTTATAGGCGCTGCAAAGGCCAATTATTAATTGGATGGTGGGAAAAATAAACTAACAGTGCCAGCCAGTTACTTTCTCCACCTAATTTAACTGAGCGACTATAGGTTCTCTGAATATGGGATCCTCTATTTAAAGTATGGGTCTACTTCTCAAAAGCAACTCTAAAAATGGCATGCTCATATCTTGATGATTTTATATCACATGTATTCACTTTACATGTAAAATACTGTTTTATGAACATAAATACATAAGAATGGCAATCATCAAGTGATCAATCCCATCTTCCAGTCTCAGCATCTAGTAGTCAGAGGCTTAAGGATACCTAGAGCATAGGACTGCATCCCTGATCATCTTGGCTAATAGCTATTGATGGACCTATCCTCCATGAATTTATCTAATTCTTTTTTTAATCCAGTTATAGTTTTGGCCTTCACAAAAATCTCTGGCAATGAGTCTCACAGGTTGAATGTGCATTATGTTAAGAAGTATTTCTTTTGTTTGTTTTAAACCTGCTGCCTATTAATTTCATTTGGTGACCCCTAGTTCTTGTGTTATGTAGAGGAGTAAATAACACTTCCAGGCACTTTCTCCACATCAGTCATGATTTTACATCTCTTTTCCAAGCTGAACAGTCAGTCTTTTTAATCTCTCCTCAGACATATACTGGTCCATACCCTTAATCATTTTTGTTGTTCTTCTCTGTACATTTTCCATTTCTAACATATCATCTTTGAGATGGGGAGACCAGAACTGCACACCAGTATTCAAGATATGGGCATACCATGATTTATATACTGGCATTATGATATTTAGTGTCGTCTTATCTATCCCTTTCTTAATGGTTTCTAGCATTTTGCCAGCTTTTTAGACTGTCACTGCACACTGAGTGGATATTTTCAGAAAACTACCCAGAGTGACTCCAAGATCTTTTTCTTGAATGGTAACAGCTAATTTAGACACAACCATTTTGTATGTATAGTTGGGATTATGTTTTCCAATGTGTGTTACACTTTGCATTTATCAACATTGAATTTCATCTGCCATTTTGCTGCCCAGTTTTGAGAGATCCCTTTGCAACACTTTGCAGGCAGCTTTGGACTTACCTATTTTGAGTAATTTTGTCTCATCTGCAGATTTTGCCACCTCACTGTTTATCCCTTTTTCCAAATCATGTATGAGTATGCTGATCAGCCCTGGTCCCAGCACAGATCCTTTGGAACACTGCTATCTACCTCCCATTCTGAAAACTGATCATTTACTCTTACCTGTTGTTTCCGGTCTTTTGAAGGAACTTCCCTCTTATTCCATGATTGCTTATTTTGCTTAAGAGCCTTTGGTGAGGGACCTTGTCAAAGGCTAACTTCCTAACTTTCCTAACTTGCATGCTGAAAGTTGGTTCTTTTCTTCTCACACATCACCACCAATAATAAAGATCATGCAGGCCAAATTAGGTCCTTAGCCATACCTGCATAAATCCATTATAGACTAAAATGATTTAATCTGGAGAAAATGGGGTTGAGCAAGTGCAATTAACAGCATAATCTAGACACAGTGGTGTTGCACAGATGTAAGAAAGTCCCACAGAGTGTACCCAAATTTCAGAATGCCACTTTCTGCACTAATCAAGTATTTTCTGTGTGATATCAACCAGAAATGCTGACAAATTTACTGCAGGATGAAAACAGCGAAGAGTATTCTAGTTCATACACAATTACCTTCATACTGGGAACGTGAACAATATCTCCATACTGGTCTTTTGTTTGCACAGTAATAATAGTTGGCCAACCACATCGTATATCATCCTTGTTTAGAATTAAAGATGTCTTCTGAGGATCAGCATATGAATCTGGCTGAAGCCATCTAGAACAGAGTAAAGTTAAAAAACATTTAACATAACATTAGAATGTTTTGTACTACCTTATAATCATAATAAAGAAACACAGAGACATAACAAAAAGCCCTATAGTCAGACTTGTTATTAAGGAGCAAAAATAGAGTCAAGTCTGAAGTAATTAAATATTTTTCATAATGACCATATTAATAAAAACCCAAGGGCCAAGTTAACAAGGCCTTTTTAATATACAGATACTAATAAAAGGCATAATTATAAAAATGTATCACTACAGGATAAACAAGAGGGCTAAAACATGTAGTTTTCAAATTCCAGTACATAATTAAAACCATGATCCTAAGCAAAACAATGCCTAGAAATGGTTTAAGTTCTATATTTTGCTACAGTGGTTAAAAATGAAAATAATGCAATAATAGGTTTGTTCATATAGCACACAAATCACCTTGCAAGTCGTCCACCACTAGACCCTGGTACACAGACTATGAAATCATCCAAAAATGACTGTTCGTTGCTTTGCATCTGAAGTGGAAGGTTTCCTTCAAGAGCTTCTAAGATGGTTGGTGAGTGAGACAGTGCCAAACCTTTTCCAAGAATGCCTGAATGAGATTTACACACCTGTTTAAAAAAAAAAAAAAAAGTATTTCCAGCTTAACAAATCTCTTACATGTTGATGTTTTCCATTATGTGACAACACTGGTAAAAAACAGATTTTTGGGGTAGGATTCCACTTCACCAGGAAAGCAGGACACCATCTCCATACTCTCAATGACAATAGAGTGATCATGGAAAACCTCTTCTCCTTTGCATAAAAGGAGGAAGGCCTTCTAACAGAAAAGAGGGGCTGCAGCAGTGCCAGTGTGGACCCAGGGCTTGCAGCAGAGTCAGTCAGCAGGCAACCTAACTAGTACAGCTGGCCTGCAGTAGGGCTGTCTAATTGGTTACACCGCCTGACTGGCTGGTTGAGTCAGAAGAAACCCAGAAGTAGCAGCAGTTCAATGATTGCTCACAGCATTTACCCACGGCTGTGACAGTTCCTGTGCCTACTTATTCCCATCCTGGGACCCAGCCCTGCTCCTGCCTTGCCTCACTGCAAGTAACCCGGTTCTGACCCCGGGCTCTGGTTCCTGGCTCCTGACTCCAGCTCCAACCCTTGGCTCTCGAACCTGGCCACTGACTCTAGATCTGTTCCTGGGCTCCAATTCCTGGCTACCGTTTGCTGCTCTAGCCATTGGAACTTATTCCTGCTCTAAGCACCGGGCACAACTGCCCATGGGCTTGTCACTGACACCTCCTCTGATATCTTCTGTTCTGTAAGGGAAATCTTGATGCTTTGTGTCATCTCACAAAAGATAAATCCACTTCAAGGTCTGGGAGAGGAGTGCCGAGAGGAAAAAAAAGGTAGATTTGACCCTCCTGGTAGAAGAGTTCTCTTCACTTCCAGGAGAATATTGCAAGTAGCTCTTCCTCTACTTGCGTCAGTGAAAATGTCCCAAAACAAATTAAGTAAGGGGCTGGAGATACAGCCAATGGAGAAGAATCCATCTTAAGGAACTTATTTTTGATGGGGTACAATATAAAAGATCCCTTCTAGGGGGAGGAGAGAAGCTGGATAGGCCAGGGAATTGCTCTGGATCCAATGTCTCACCTCAGAAAGTGGCTCAACTCCTCCCATCTGAACTCCTTGTCCTTTAACTGCTCTTTCTTCCTACCATACGGGATTGGGGGTGGGGAGGGGGAGAAAGATGAGAGTCTGAAGAGTGGCAAGAGTACCCAGTTCAACCGTACTCTCCTTTGTGCTAGTGACTAGGTGAGGAAGGAGCTCAGAGCAGTGGAGTGCCAAAGTACTGTTGCACACCATTCACCAGCAGTGTGCTAATACAGGCTCCCTCTGTCCTGCTTTAGTGGTCCATTCAATGGAGGACTGAAGAAAAAAAAAATGCTGCAGCCAAGTCACGGTGTCATGATCCTGAGGATCATCATGATCCAAACCTCCACCCAACTGCTTATGGGCATCAGCTAGAACTGGAACTCCCTGAAGCCCAGCTCAGATAGAAGGTTCCAACCCTGGGCCCCAACTGGTGAAACACTGGAGCTCCTGAATGGCTGGCTCACCCTACTTAAGTTGGAAGGAGGAAGTAGTCATCCATACAACTGGGCTCCACCCTACTTTGGAATGCTCACCCAGTGCTACCCGCACCTGTCTCCTGACCCTGACCTCCTGGTTTCCTGATTCAACATGATTCTTGGTATCTGACTCTTGCTTCCTGACCTCCTGATTCTGAACCCCAGCCTGCATGAGCACCCGGACTCTGGTCCTACGCTAACCACTAGCCTTGGCCATCTACATCCCAGCACTGAAAGGCATGGCTTGTTGTTCCTGAACAGTTTCTTTTCTTCTAGATTTTCCCCTATTTTACCATTCTGGTGGCTGAGGCAGATTCAAGGCCCCCTAAATGGTGTTAAACTATGGCACTAGTTACTTCTCCACTGTAAACTTGGAAGCAACGGGGACATCTGCCTTAAAAAAAAAACTTAGAAAGGAGGGAGATGATCATTTATCCTGATTTGCCATCAGCTGTTAGCTACACAGAAGGTAAGCACACAACTCAGCCACCTGTATGAGTTACAGTACTACCAACAATACTCAAAGAAAAATAATTTTATAACATCAAAAATACTATATTTAATAAAAAATATAAATAAGCCACAGCTCTATTCTGTAATATTTATGTTTGAATATATGTTCTGAGAAACTTTACTATAATGAGTGTTTAATATAAATATTAAACAGATCATAAACGCTTCCATAAAATCCTTTTAGCTTTCTTCTAAATACTACCTCACAAGTACTAGGATGCCCTCCTTTTGTCCATATTCTCATATTCCCTCCTCTCCCCTCCCCCCTCGTTTTAGGAAAACATTCTAATCAATGAGTGTGCCCAACAAGATAATTTACTTCCATATAGTATGACAGTTTAAATCAATTGGTAATAAATACTGATTCTGAAAATGAGACCCCAGTTTTAACAAGTAAATAGAAGCATGGCTCCATGTAAGACACTATGGTTATGTCTACACTGCAATTAAACACCCACGGCTGGCTTGTGTCAGTGGACTTGGACTCACAGGGTTTAGGCTATGGGGCTGTTTAATTGCGGCGTACACATTCAGGCTCAGGCTAGAGCCCAGGTTCTGGGACCTGACAAGGGGGGAGGGTCCCCGAGCCCAGTCTTCAGCCCAAGCCTGAACAGTTAAACAGCTTTGTTGCCCAAGTCCCGCAAGCCCAAGTCGACTGACACAGGCCAGCCATGGGTGTTTAATTGCAGTGTACACATACCCAAAATAAACCAAGAGTGGACAATGGACCTATCTAATGGCTGTCAAATGATAATTTGGGCTCATTATTGACCTATGTTGTGTTCAAATGTAGACCTTAAAAGGCTTTGTATCCCATTGTAGTGGGGCGACTGCCCCACTCCCACAGAACAGGAGTTAAAAGCAGCCCTGGAGAGGGCTGCAGCTGGGAAAAAGGAGTGAGGGAGTAGCTGACCACAGGTGTGGCCAGCTCAGTCAGGCCACAGCTAGCCCTATGAAGGGGCTGTGAGCCATGAGCTGAGTGAGTCTCTCTCTAGCTCTGACGAGAGAAGGACCTGACTGCCTGGGAAAGAAGGGTACCTGAGGCAGAGTAGTGCTGGGGAAAGGCAAGAGGAGCTGGGGAGCTCCAACCTGGTAAATCCTCAGGCTGCAGGCCCTGTGCAAGGCCTAAAGAAGGTACTGGGGCTGCAGAGGTACAGTCCTGAGTTAGGCAGAGGCAGCTGGTCCAAACGTCCTTGCCAATGACAAGTGGCCATGACAGACTGCAGTTTGCCCCAGTGACCAGGGGCTGGATGAAGACTGGCAGTAGCCACTGAGGCAAGGTGGGTGTAGAGGCTTGGGGGTTCCCCTGGGAGGGAAGACCCAGCGTGTGGGGGTACTGCAATGGGCAGAAACCCGAGATAAAGGGGCACCGGGGTCCAGGAGAGACATGGGGGCCGAAGGAAGGCAAGACTCCGGCTTGCAGAGGGCATTCGGTGTGGATAAGAGCTAATTCCCAAGACAACCAGCAGGAGGCGCTGCACCGGTGAGTCTCGCTCCGCAACACCCACTTATAGGTCAAATTCCTTCACCCCATCCCTGTCTTTCAGTGAGACTGTATTTCATTTCAGCTTACCTCCCTCTTAATACAGAGAACTAACAATCAGAAATAAGATAATACAAAAGAATCTCTATGCTAAGTCAATCAGTTATTAAGAACTACCAAAGGATGACTTTAGTAAAGCTTTTGATACCGTCTCGCTCAACATTCCCATAAACAAACTAGGGAAAAGCAACCTAGATGGAGCTACTATAAGGAGGGTGCATAACTGGTTGGAAAATCGTTCCCAGAGAGTAGTTATCAGTGGTTCAGAGTCACGCTGGAAGGGCATAACAAGCAGGGTCCCGCAAGGATCAGTTCTGGATTTGGTTCTGTTCAATATCTTCATCAATGATTTAGATAATGGCATAGAGAGTACACTTCTAAAGTCTGTGGACAATACCACGCTAGGAGGGGTTGCAAGTGCTTTGGAGGATAGGATTATAATTCAAAATGATCTGGACAAACTGGAGAAATGGTCTGAAGTAAATAGGATGACACTGAATAAGTACAAATGCAAAGTATTCCACTTAGGAAGGAACAATCAGTTGCACATATACAAAATGGGAAGAGACTACCTAGGAAGGAGTACTGCAGAAAGGGATCTGGGGGGTCACAGTGGACCACAAGATAAATATGAGTCAACAGTGTAACACCGTTGCAAAAAAAGCAAACATCACTCTGGGATGTATTAGCAGAAGTGTTGTAATCAAGACACAAGAAGTAATTCTTCCACTTTACTCCGCGCTGATTAGGCCTCAACTAGAGTACTGTGTCCAGTTCTGGGCACCACATTTCAGGAAAGATGCGGACAAATTGGAGAAAGTCTAGAGAAGAGCAACAAAAACTAAAGGTCTAGAAAACATGATCTATGAGGGAAGATTGAAAAAAATTGGGTTTGTTTAGTCTGGAAAAGAGAAGACCGAGATGGGACAGGATAACAGTTTTCAAATACATAAAAGATTGTTAAAAGGAGGAGGGAGAAAAATTGTTGTTGTTAACCTCTGAGGATTAGGACAAGAAGCAGTGGGCTGAAATTGCAGCAAGGGAGGTTTAGGTTGTATATTAGGAAAAACTTCCTGTCAGAGTGGTTAAGCACTGGAATAAATTGCCCAGGGAGGTTGTGAAATCTCCATCATTAGAGACTTTTAAGAGCAGGTTAGACAAACACTTGTCAGGGACAGTCTAGACAATACTTAGTTCTCCCGTGAGTGCAGGGGACTGGACTAGATGACCTCTTGAGGTCCCTTCCAGTCCTATCATTCCATGATGATAAGACGTATGCCTTCCTACTCTTCCTCCACCAAGAGGCAATGTCTCCAAAATATCAGTCTCGGGAGAAGTCACTTTAAAAAATGACTAGTGCTTTTGGGTGCTCAATAAGACAACTTGCAGGGGCATATTTTTCAGAGGTTGGGTGCTTAGCATATTTTTTGAAAAATTAGACCCCTCTGAGGTGTCAAGTTGGGCACATAACAATTGAGATATACAAAATTACTATTCACTTTTGAAAATCTTAGCCAGAGCTCTCCACTCAATCATGTTTATACCAGTAAATAATGAAATACTATGAACCACTAGCTTGATTTAAGAGCCTTTTCTCTGAAGGTTTCAAAAGCAGTTTTTCTGTATTTACTAATAATGGGTTAGCTTCCTTCCTACTGCCAACATCTTCCAAACAGGTTTCTTCTCTGGCAATCAGTAAAAAGAAAGTGACAATGGAAGTTAGCACCAAAATGCCTTGCCATGTTAAAAGCAATGCTATACCTGCAATGCAGCCTCTTCAAGAATCTCAAGATCTTCTTCAAATTCATTAGCTGTTGTACAAATACATAGAAATGCATATACGGTTAATATAAACATCAAGATAAATCTACATACTTTCAGTATTTAAAATTTGGTTCTAATTCCATTTAGCAATGCATTTTATATGAGAACCTTGTTATGAACTTAAAAAAACTTTACTTATTTTGCTCAGCCCAGCAGTGTGAAAATGTTCTAAGGTTACGCAGCACTTCTTAATGAACAGATAAAATAATATTTTCCATGCAACACTGTAAACATGCAGTATGGTATAATTCAGTGTACAAACAAATATGACACTAATTCATATAAAGAAAAATTTATTCTTATATCTTTAAATGTATTTTCTCTAAAACAGTATGTCTGGCAATTCTGTGCATATAGATAGGTGGTCTACCTTCCAGGGATTTTGGATGCAGTTAGATCTGACTTCCAGATGGCAGTAGTTGGGACCCATCCACCAAATGCTCCTCAAAGGAGCTTATACAACTAACTATTTAAAAAAACATAATAATGATAATGCTAGCCAATTATTAATTCTTTTGTAAAATTAAATCCAAATGTGTTCAATGTAACCGTATTCCATACTTCTTTCTCAGAAACGTAATTCTAAACTTTGATTCCAGGGTGGTCAGAATTCACAAACATGCTTTTTTAGAGAAAAGAAATTTACAGGTAAGGACAACATTTTTCTGCCCTTTCAAAAACATGTCAAGCAATTCTGCACACACAGGATGTAATCACTAGTGAGATAAGAGAGGAACAGAAAAAGAAGGACTCAAGTTCTAATGCATTAAAAATGTCCACAGATGTAGACATCTGTATCAGAAGCTAAATCCACTCAGTATAATCAAATAATGAAGAACGTTCATTAAATATATTGATCCAGGCAATTGTAGCTGTTTGTTATGCTACTTTGCTTTTTTATTTTCTTTAATTAGTACAGGTGCTGTGTCTGTAGAGGATGATATCATCAATCTTGTGGAATGCACCATCTTGATACCTGCTGCAAGATCCTAATAGAGTGGTGAGCAACCTGCGGCCCGTCAGGGTAATCCGCTGGTGGGTCACGAGACAGTTTCTTTACACTGACCGCCCCCAGGCATGGCCGTCTGCAGCTCCCATTGGCCAGGAACGGCAAACCGTGGCCACTGGGAGCTGTGGGCAGCCATGCTTGCAGACGGTCAATGTAAACGAACTGTCTCGCAGCCTGCCAGCAGATTACCCTGGCAGGCTGCGTGCGGCCCATGGGCCGCAGGTTGCCCACCACTGTCTTAATAGTGTTTCTTGTATGCTTCAGGTAGGCAAATGAAAAGTGACCTGCAAAAAGGGTCATTAGTCACTTTCTCCTTGTGTGAAAAAAAGCAAAAGACAAATGTGGATTTTTTACATATTTAAGAATTGATGTATGTTTTAATTAACTGCCCTTCACACTTCCATGCAGTGCCATTATTTTTACTTCAGCTAGATGGTATTGGACAAAAGGGAGTGCTATCTTCAGGACCCTGTTGAATGTAGATGTCACCTTAATCAGGAAGCATTCTGAAATCTTCTAAACTATCCTGTCCACGTAAAATGTACCGTATTGGTCCACTACTGATAGCCAAAACTCAGACATCCTAATTCCTCAAATTCTGCCATCTTTCTACATATATATCTTTCATCACCATAGTCTTACAGCCATAAATGGATTTTATTCTCATAGCCCTCCTGATGCAGTAGGGAAGTATTATGAAAGTGTTTACATATGGGAAATTGAGGCATAAAGTAGATGAAATTACTTGCTCAAAGGTCACATAGGACACCTGTGGCTGGCCAGGAATTTTACCTAAGGTCTATTGAGTCCCATTCCAGTGCCTTATACACTAGACTTTCCCTTCCACCCCAGCTTGGACACTAGGGTTGTTATCTTAATAGTTAAAAAAGCAGAAGGATGGGGAGTGCAATGGTTTAAAGAGAGGACTACTGAGATCCTGCAATTCCAGATTTTTCTTCTGGTGTAGATACTTATCTCAGTGGATTAAACATTATTGTTGCATGTTTTAAAAATGCAGATATTGCTAAGGGAATGTGTTGGTACTCCTGTCACGTATGACTGAATAAAGGAAAACCTAGAGATGGGGGATTTAAAAAAAAAAAATACCAACAGCAACAATTTTCATAGAATCATAGAATATCAGGGTTGGAAGGGACCTCAAGAGGTCATCTAGTCCAACCCCCTGCTCAAAGCAGGACCAATTCCCAACTAAATCATCCCAGCCAGGGCTTTGTCAAGCCGGGCCTTAAAAACCTCCAAGGAAGGAGACTCCACCACCTCCCTAGGTAACGCATTCCAGTGCTTCACCACCCTCCTAGTGAAATAGTGTTTCCTAATATCCAACCTGGACCTCCCCCACTGCAACTTGAGACCATTGCTCCTTGTTCTGTCATCTGTCACCACTGAGAACAGCCGAGCTCCATCCTCTTTGGAACCCCCCTTCAGGTAGTTGAAGGCTGCTATCAAATCCCCCCTCATTCTTCTCTTCTGGAGACTAAACAATCCCAGTTCCCTCAGCCTCTCCTCATAAGTCATGTGCTCCAGACCCCTAATCATTTTTGTTGCCCTCCGCTGGACTCTTTCCAATTTTTCCACATCCTTCTTGTAGTGTGGGGCCCAAAACTGGACACAGTATTCCAGATGAGGCCTCACCAATGTCGAATAAAGGGGAACGATCACGTTCCTCGATCTGCTGGCAATGCCCCTACTTATACAGCCCAAAATGCCGTTAGCCTTCTTGGCAACAAGAGCACACTGTTGACTCATATCCAGCTTCTCGTCCACTGTGACCCCTAGGTCCTTTTCTGCAGAACTGCTACCTAGCCATTCGGTCCCTAGTCTGTAGCAGTGCATTGGATTCTTCCGTCCTAAGTGCAGGACTCTGCACTTGTCCTTGTTGAACCTCATCAGGTTTCTTTTGGCCCAGTCCTCTAATTTGTCTAGGTCCCTCTGTATCCGATCCTTACCCTCTAGTGTATCTACCACGCCTCCTAGTTTAGTGTCATCTGCAAACTTGCTGAGAGTGCAGTCCACACCATCCTCCAGATCATTAATAAAGATATTAAACAAAACCGGCCTCAGAACCGACCCTTGGGGCACTCCGCTTGAAACCAGCTTCCAACTAGACATGGAGCCATTGATCACTACCCGTTGAGCCCGACGATCTAGCCAGCTTTCTATCCACCTTACAGTCCATTCATCCAGCCCATACTTCTTTAACTTGGCGGCAAGAATACTGTGGGAGACCGTATCAAAAGCTTTGCTAAAGTCAAGGAATAACACATCCACTGCTTTCCCCTCATCCACAGAGCCAGTTATCTCATCATAGAAGGCAATTAGGTTAGTCAGGCACGACTTCCCCTTGGTGAATCCATGCTGACTGTTCCTGATCACTTTCCTCTCCTCTAAGTGTTTCATAATTGATTCCTTGAGGACCTGTTCCATGATTTTTCCAGGGACTGAGGTGAGGCTGACTGGCCTGTAGTTCCCCGGATCCTCCTTCTTCCCTTTTTTAAAGATGGGCACTACATTAGCCTTTTTCCAGTCATCCGGGACCTCCCCCGATCGCCATGAGTTTTCAAAAATAATGGCTAATGGCTCTGCAATCTCATCCGCCAACTCCTTTAGCACCCTCGGATGCAGCGCATCCGGCCCCATGGACTTGTGCACATCCAGTTTTTCTAAATAGTCCCGAACCACTTCTTTCTCCACATAGGGCTGGTCACCTTCTCCCCATATTGTGCTGCCCAGTGCAGCAGTCTGGGAGCTGAGCTTGTTCGTGAAGACAGAGGCAAAAAAAGCATTGAGTACATTAGCTTTTTCCACATCCTCGGTCACTAGGTTGCCTCCCTCATTCAGTAAGGGGCCCACACTTTCCTTGACTTTCTTCTTGTTGCTAACATACCTGAAGAAACCCTTCTTGTTACTCTTAACATCTCTTGCTAGCTGCAACTCCAAGTGTGATTTGGCCTTCCTGATTTCATTCCTGCATGCCTGAGCAATAGTTTTATACTCCTCCCTGGTCATTTTTCCAATCTTCCACTTCTTGTAAGCTTCTTTTTTGCGTTTAAGATCTGCAAGGATTTCACTGTTTAGCCAAGCTGGTCGCCTGCCATATTTACTATTCTTTCTACACATTGGGATGGTTTGTTCCTGCAACCGCAATAAGGATTCTTTAAAATACAGCCGGCTCTCCTGGACCCCTTTGCCCTTCATGTTATTCTCCCAGGGGATCCTGCCCATCTGTTCCCTGAGGGAGTCAAAGTCTGCTTTTCTGAAGTCCAGGGTCCGTATTCACAAATAGTTGCCTAAAATAAGCATCCTAAATCCATACTTAGACATCTAAACAAGTGGCCCAATTTAAAAAGCAACAAAAAGAAAAAACAACGGAGACTTTGCTCTCTGTCCTATTCCCCTAAAAAGGGAAACACTCTAATTGCTTAACATTTGCAGGGAAGAGGAAGACCTGACCCATCCTTCTCTCAGTTCTCTCACTTTCATATTTATATATGGCAAATTAGGAAAAAAACAAACAACCCCACAACTCAAGGCAGTTTCCTGTCATCAGGGATAAAGGGAATAAAATTATTGTTGTCATTTTTACTTGTAGGAGGCACTCAGAATAGAGCAATGGGAGCCACATAAGAAATTAGATAAAGATAGTTCAGATATCAAGGCCCTAACAGTGGGAAAACAAAACAATTTGGCAACAAGTTTTTTCCCCAGTGACAACTTGCTCAGGGCTTGTCTTCAATACTGGGGTAAGTTGACCTAAGTTACGCTACTCCAGCTATGTGAATAACATAGCTGGATTCGACATAGTTTGGGTCGACTTACCCTGGTATCTTCACTGTGCTGTGTCGACGGGAGACGCTCTCCAGTCGACTTAATTTAATCTTCTCGGGGAGATGGAGTACTGGGGTTGACCAGAGAGTGCTCTGCCGTCGATTTATCAGGAATTCGATTGCAGCAGCATCAATCTCCCTGGTAGTGAAGACAAGCCCTCAGCCACATGTCAGTTTCCTGGATAGAGGATTTTTTTATGTAGCGGGGGCTCAGACCTACTGATATATTGTCCTGCAGGAACTGTAACAATTATCTTCTGTGAACTTGGCTGAAGCTAAAAGTTTATGAAGGGTATCAGTTATCCAGATTTGCAGATATAGGTACCTTCACATCACTTTGTTAGCTATGGAACTAGAGGAATATTTGAACAAGTCCATGGTCATGTCTGCGATGAATGCTACAGCTAGTTGAGAGACAGAAATCTGTATTTGTGGGAAGTAACTTCCCTGAACTCCATAAACCAAGTAACAACCACCCTGACAAATCATACTCATGTTGAGGTGACATGAAGAGATGCAAAATCAGAATGAAGACTTCACGATTTAGGCAGCATTCTCAGTCGTTGACTGTGTGTCTGCTGAATCAGTCTGCCTTTTGTTTCACCTCTTCTTTTATGTGTATTGTTCTTATGGGAGGGAGAGTCTTCTCTGCCCATTTCATTATCTCCATTCACTTCTTATGTAGAGTAATGCTCCTTGATGCCCCTTGGTGGTTGATGTAAGCCACAGTGGTCACATAGTCCAACTGGACCAGAACACGCTTGCCCTATAGGTAGTTCTGGAACTTCCGCGGAGAGCTTCAATAGGCTGATGTTCTGGTTCCTTTCCCCAGAGTTCCAGGTGCCTTGCACTGTCATTTGTAGCACAGGTGTCTCCATCCCATCAGGTTGGCATCAGTTGTGAGTTCCTATGGATCTGGAAGGCATATGGGAAGACCCTCCGAGGACGATCTGAGAGAGTTCAGCACGTGGTTCAGAACCAATACCTGATCCTCTAATGGTTCCATACTTCCAAGAGAAAGGATTGGAGGCACCTGATATGGGACCCTGCCCGTGAGAGGATTCCTATTCATGAAACCAGAAGGACTAGTAGCTGTAGACACTGAACTATGGTCAGAATTGCACACTTTACTAACATGGATATCAGATTCTGGATCCTATGGAATCTGTCCAGTGATAGCTAGATTCTTTGCCACGGAAGGGTATTTCCACTCCCAGGTGAACTACTTTTGTGGAGGAAATCAAGGACCTCTTCTTAGTGTTTATCATAAATCCATGTGCTTGAAGCAAACCCAGTGTTTGGATTGTGGCATTCCTTGCTGCTGTTTTGGTCAAAGCTCTGACCAAGAAGTCATCTAGGAATGGATAAAGGTGAGTGCACTGAGATCTGAGTCTATTATTACCACCAGCATCTTGGTAAAGAGCCTTGGGCCCAATAAAAGGACAAAAGGAAATGCATGATACTAGTGGTGGGCCATGCCATAAGTAAGTCTCGGCAATCTGTGGTCGAATGGTCATATGGGAATATGGAGATATGCATCTGCTAGCTCCACATAAGCAAAGAAGCCCCCTTGAGACAGGAATGCTCCCATTGAAGCTACAGTCTCCATCGGGAACCTTATTTTCTTCATCCATTTGTTGACGCAGAATGGGTCCAACTTCCCCCCTCCCCTCCCACCCATGCATGCTTCTGGACAAGAAAGAAAATGGAGTATGGTCTTAAGAATCTTTCTTCTGTGGGAACTCTTTTTATTATTGCTCTTATATCCAGGAGATGTGAAATTTCATTTAACACCAGCTCATATCTGATGGGGTCACATCAAGATAGGGGACTGAGGATGGGATGTAGTGGGGCCCTTAGTTTGAGGGAGTATCTGTGACTCTCTACCTCTTTCACCCCCTTGTCTGTCGTTGATCAAGACCATTCTTCTGAGAAATGGGAAATTCTGCTTCCTAGGTTCAGGTCTCAGTAGAGGCACATTTGTTTGTTGTCACAGTGGACTCTTAGAGGTGGCGGCTCCATCTCTGGATTTTCCACCCAGACCTCATTTCCAGGGTTTTCTCCTCATATAACTGTTGTCTTTCCTCTGGTACTTTTGCGAGAAGGATGGATGAAAGCAGTGTTTTTATCTGTCCTTAGAGCATGGTGGAGAGGATCCATTTCATTTTGGTAGTGCTTTCTGCCATTATTTCGTCTAGGTTCGTTCCCCGCAGAGGAGAGAGACTGTGAATTTAGATGAGCAGATAATCTATTTGGAATGAGCATCAACCTTCTAGGGGTGAAGCCAGATGTGACATCCAGCTGCTGAGCTTTCACCTTTCTGTCAGTTGAATCTTTGTGAAAGACATCCCCTTCAAGCAGGTTTATCATATCTTTTGCTAGAGATGCTATTGCAGCACTGATCTTTGGTATATCTGTAATGGCACTTTTTGGCTCTTGCAGCTTGTAATATCTGAATGAATGCCTGCTTATGCACCTACCCTTATAGGGGTTTCCTATTCCTCTCTGATCAAGGATGGATGAAGCAGGATTGCTGTCCTAGGTGGGGATTTAAAAGGCTTATCCTCTAGCATCTTCTCAAGTTGGACATGGATTATGAATGCAACCTTTTTGCACATGATTTCAAACATAGCAGGAGGGGGGGGGGAAAAAACCCTTTGTTGCATTTTCTTCACATCCTGATCAGAGCCTGAATGACTGCTCCCTTTCCTCAGGAGAGACGGAGATGTCTGAGTAAGAGGATGAATACCTCTGAGGTCATTTATATCTTTTCTTTTGTCCCCCTCCCCCTACCTTTTTTATTTTATTTTTTAAAGACTTTAGCCTTTGCAAGCATTGCAACCCAAACACAATTTACTCTCTTAAAGAGCCTGTAAAGCTGCTTCACAGACAGACCACTTGAATTTAGTTTGGTGTTTGTGCAACAGCTCCGCTATGCATGAATGGGGACAGAGAATCATGGCTGGGAGGCACAAGAGTGCTAGCTGAGACTACTTCACTACTCAATACCCAATCCAGGAGAAGGAGGAGAACTAAAGGCTGCTCACTACTGCCACCCAAAATGAATAAAATTAAAGGCTGTTCCTTGGTCTTGAACAAGCTGCTACCCAGTAGCGAACAGGGAAGGTCACAGAACTGTGGTAGTAACACCAATTTTAAAAAAAGACTATACAAAGTCTAACAACTATCCCCTTTAGCAAGAAGGGAATTGCATTTTAGTCAAAAACCGTCTTTGGAGATAATTCACTGTTAGAAAAGCCAGGAAATTAAAGTTGGGAGCATTCTAGTTTCTGTATTTTTCTCTTGCATGGAAGAATGAAGGAAGCAGTTGGTAAGCAGGTGTCATCAATGGAAGTAAGTTTTAACTACCTCTAATCCGAGGGAAGAGGGATTCTAATCAATGTTACAGAATTGCCTAACATACTCTTAAGAGCTAAATGAATATTTACGAGAAGTGCCTATTGCGACTGAAAGTAAGAGATCTGCATGTGCAAGTGCACAAGAAAATATCTGATTTTTAAAAAATTCTATTTGATCAGTGTGCAGTTACAAGCACAAAAACATATGTCCCCTTGCTCATTAACATGCCCTTTCTATTAAGCACTGTCATTTGCAATATGTGAACACTTAGTGGCTTTGCTTACATTTAACCTAACAAGCTAATCACTAATCTGAGCCTAGCAATGAATTTAAATAGTCATACAGATGCCTTATAAGAAACTGTGAGCCTTCTGTTAACAAGAATAACTCCATTAAAGACAATGGCGCTGCACCAGAATAAAACTAGTGAGAGGTCAGAATTAGGATCTCTCTCTTTCTAGTTCTACTTCAGTTACAATATTCTGCTCCAGTCACTTTTGATGAATCTCATTTTTGTCACTTGCGGTACTTTTTAAATTGTGTTTGTATTATTGAAAACGTGTGTGTACTGTGTCTGCTTATGAAGTAATGTAACACTTTTGATAATTTTAAAATTTGGAGAAGAATTATTTTAGGCTCCAAGATCTACAGATATTCATGACCACTTAATTTTAAACAAATAATTGCACATTTTACAAGTCAGCACCACAGTTGCTGTTCCTTAATGATTGATGTGGAGTGTGCTGAGAAAGAACAGCGATAAGAAAAACAAATAGTAAGATACCTGAACATTTGTGAAGTACCATTAAGAAACTGGAGAAGGTAGCTCATACCCTGCTACTCTACCTGTAGATGGGGTGAGTTGGTCAGATTTAAATACTAGATTTCCCTACTCCCTATACATAAGGGAGTAGAGTGGGCGGCAAAACAGCACTATTTATCTGTGTTGATTAATTTTTAGTCGTAAAGCGAAAACAAATTTTATCTCCAATTGGAAGCAATCTTAAAACTCATAGAATATTAGTAATTCACAAAATATAATATAAATCAATTATCAAGGAAAAAATTATGTTCTTTAAGAGAGACTTACCAATGGGAAGTGCCAGATCTTTTTTCATCAAAGCAGCTGCACATGCTCCTCCTAGATTGGCCAACTCTTTCTCAAGCTGTATAATACCCTTCAAAAATAAGAGAAGAATTTAAAGCCAAAGGTAGTTTCAGAAAAGAAAAGCTGAGTAGTTGTATTAATAGAATGCACACAAACTACTGAAGATTGTGAGAGACAAAAATATTGTGCTCTAGTTCAGGGGTGCTCATCCTTAGGGTCATAAACAAGTTTCACGGAGTTACAATCACATTCCTTGCTTTACCGCTATAAGGGAGGAGAGTCCTGACCCTTTTTTTTCTTGTAACATGGGATCACAGTAGAAAAAAGGTTGAAAACAATTTCTCTGATTAATAGGATTTATTAAATGTAGGCGGTTGCTAGGCTTTTACACTCAGCAGAATCACTCTTACCAGAAGACAACTGTTTTCTTTAGCCTGTAGCATTCACTTAAAAGAGTGGGAACTTGGAAACATACTACTAGATAAATCAACTGTACATACATGCATTAATACTTTAAAGCTATGTTCCCTCTAAGAGGTACTCATGTATGCAGCATGCATGAACTCACTCACGTATGCAACTTAGAGGTACCATTACTCAAAGGGCTTACCCTACTGCCTCTGGCTGAGGGGACTCCAGATTCTCCTTCCACCCAGCTGCTGGTCCTCAGGAGAAGTCCCTTACAGCCTCTTCCCTGTATATTGGCCCTCAGGGAGGGTAAAAAGCTCTGGGTTCTTCTCCCCATTGATGTTGCTGCTCTGCAGGTGGGTTGGAAATGAGAACCCCTCTTCCCCCTTGCTGGTCCTTATATGTGGAATGATCCCCTTCTTCTGGGCTGAGGAAGGGAGTGTGGCCTCTCAACCTCCTTCTGCTCCGCTCCTGAGGGAGTCCCCAATTTCTTCCCCACACTAGTTTCCCCAGATGCTAGGCTCCCTTTCCCCCCTGCTGCTCCTCTTCTAAGGTGGGAAGGGGAGTGTTGTTCCTCCCCAGTCAGAGGAAAGGGGACTATTGTGCTCCATTCCAGTTTCGCAATTTTTCTGTCTGTGGAACATAAAAGTGTCTGAGCTCATGTTTTAAACCTAAGAGTGCAGTCTCTTCCATTGTGTTCAGAGGGTCTGATTTTTGTAAGTGCTGAGTGCAATGCCAATTTAAGTTAGAGAGCGCTGTGGGTTGGCTCAGCACTTCTGAAAATTGGGTGCATGGGTTCTAAACTTGCACTCAGGAAGTTATTCATTCCACATACAGGAAAAGGAAACAAATTAGTGGGAACAGTTAACTAGAGGAGCTTCCAGGGTAATGATTTCCTTCAGAGATAGACAATATACAAAGAAAGACCAAAATCTCTTGGCCCAAAGAGCCCTCCAATCTAGAATCTTGATGATGCCTCACCTTCCATAGATGCAGGCTAACTAATCTGTAACTAGAGGGTGTGTCTTGGACTCAAGTCCTTATGCAACTGAGCCCAAGTGGACTCTGATTACAGATTCTGAAATGTTGAGCGTACATGTGGATTGACACCCAACTGCTGCTTGCTACATCACCTTCACAGAATCATATTCTCTTTCTGCCCATGTACTGGTCTTGACACTAAAATAATTTGTGTTTATGTCTAGATGGCAAGGATACCCTTCTGCTTTGTACATTTTTTTTTAAATTAGGTTATACAGCCATTCTGTTCTGCCCAAACAGGAGGTCTGTCTTTTGCATCATGAACAGCACAAAACTGAGTTTGATTTTCAAAAATCTTGGAGTTTTATGAAAATAGAACATAATGGTTCAAATTATATTTAAGGAATTCTGTAGTAACTACTTGTTGATACCCTTGTTTGCACTGAATAGCAGCATACTCTCTGAGTATACCCATGAACTTCAATGGGATTGCTTGTTGAGTAAATTTCTATTCAATGTGATCAAGGATATCAGAATCTTGCCCTATGAGAGAAAAGAGTAAAAAACAAGAGGAGAAGAATACATTGACCCCTTTGAAAAATACAGCCAGATCCACCTTTGTGCCCTGGCCAGCTTGATTAAGTCCCCAGGTGGTAGACAATCAGCTCCGCAGATCTGTGCAACACTCCAGAATCCCTGGCATAAGGAATTCCTGGGGGGGAAAGGTGTGGAGCTATGGATAGCTGGGTGAGTTAGCAGCAGCATGAAAGATGCTCTAATTTACATTGAGGACAGCGAAGAAGGTGGCTAATAACTAAGGTTAAGATTTTGTCATGGTTATTTTTAGTAAAAGTCACGGACAGGTTATGGACAATAAACCAAAATTCATGGAAGCCCTTGACCTGCCCCTGATTTTTACTAAGAATAACTGACAAAATGGGGAGGAAGGGAACCAGCACCCACTGCTGATGAGGCTCTGGGGTCCCCCAGGTGCTTGTGGCAGCTTGGAGATCCGGAGTCCTCCCACTGCCCGTAGTGGCTGAAAGTGCCAGGGTCCCTCCTGTTGCAAGCGGCAGCTCAGAGCTGTGGGGTCCCCCCCATCACACATGGTGGCTGGGAGCTCAAAGGGGTGCCCCTCCCCGCAGCTCAGAGTTCTGCAGAGCCACCCCACACGGCTGGGAGCTGCAACTGGCGAATCAAAATTGAGTAATTATCTGATGGTGGATGGCACACACTGATTGCTGCCAGGTGGTCTTGTATAGAACTGAGGGAGAGCCCAGTCATTTTGACAGAACGCAGACAGTCCAATATAAGGGGAATATTTGCTGACGTGGGATTTGTGTTCCAGCTGCATGCAGATGGAAAAACTCTTCCACTCAGCTGAATAATGTTTCCCAGTGAACTCCTTTCTGCTGTTATTAAGGATGGTTTGTACGGCTTCAGAGCAGGAATGTTCTAAGTCTGACACCCATCCAAAAACCAAGCAATGAGATGAAGTGCTCCAGGGATGGGGTGATTGATACTGCATTTCTCCTGGGTCAAGAGATCAGGAAAGGACAGGATACTGATTGAATGATGAGATGACACTAAATGGAGATTTGGGAACCAAATTTATTTGAGCCAATTGGGGGCGAGGAGTATGACTCCTGCTGTGCCGTGTCCTATTGAAGTTTCCATAGGACTTGAGGTAGGAATGCTAGAGAGGAAAGGCATAGTTTAGGTTTCCTGACCAGGTCAGAAGGATAGCATCGCCCTGAGAGTGTAGACCTAGAGCTCCCCTAGAACAGTAGATGTTGCATTTCCTGTTAATTTGGGAGGCAAATAGATTCTAGGTGGGGTTCCCCACTGAGTGAAAATACTGTTAGCTACCGAATCATGCAGCTCCCACTCATTATCAATAGCAAAATACCTAATGGGGGTGTCTGCCAACACATTCTGAGTTCCCAGAAGGTAAGATGAGGACAGGGTGATTCAATTCCTAATACACAAATTCCATAGGGCAACTACTTCTATACACAAGAGAATGGATCTTACCCCTCCTTGCTTGTTGATGTAAAAGTTGGTTATGCTGTTTAACGTTATGAAGACATGATGGAACTGAATAAACTGAAGAAAGGCATTGCAAGCCTATCAGACTGCACTAAATTCCAAAAGACTGATGTGCATCCTGGTTTCTCGGGGTGTCCAAGTGCATTGTGCTGTATGTCTGTGTGGCCCCCCCCAGCTCAACAGGGAGGCATGTGTAATTACTGTATTGTCTGGTAAGGGGGATAGTAAGGGAACACCCATACGTAGTTGATGGGATGACATTACATCACAGATTATGTTACATTAGCGATTATGTTACTTTGGAAGGAAGCGTCACTGTGGTATTCATGCTGGTCAGCGAATGCACTGTTTGGAGCCAGGGCTCTAGGCAATTTAAGAAGAGTCTGGCGAATGGGGTAACAAGTGCATGAAGCCACATGTCTCAGAAGGAAAACAAGTTCTGACTGGTACTTGAGGGTTGCAAATAACCTGGTCTATCAGGTTGTTCATGGCATGAAACCTGTCCCTTGGTAAATAAGCTCTTGCTGTGATTGAGTCCAAAGTCACTTCATGCAGTCTGTATCAGAGTGAGGATATACTTTTCAAAGTTTACACTGGCTTCAAGAGAGAAAAGGAGCTGAAGTATTAATGAGGTCGATATGCAGGCCTCTTGAAATGTCCTGGCAACAAGAAGCCAGTCGGTGAAATAAGGGATGACAGTCAGACTTTTCTACCTGAAATGAGTTGCTATTACCAGGATGACTTAGATAAAGAGCTTGGGATCAGTGGCAAAACCAAATGGAAGCATCCTGTACTGGAAGTGGTCTGGGCCCACCATGAAATTGAGAAACTGCTTCGGGGGGTGGGGGATGAATGTCCACGTGAATGTACGTGTCCGTCATAGAGAGAGCTGTAAATGGAAATGTCTTTTTACAGGGGTGGGATTATGGAAGCAAGTGTGATTATATGAAATTTCAGCTTGCAAATAACACGATTGAGATTGCAGAGTTGGAGAATGGGTCTCTAACCACTCTTCTTTTTGGGTACTAGGAAGTACATCAAGTAAAAACCTTTTCCCTGGTGTTGGAGAGGTTTCCACTCTATTGCTCCTCATTGGAGGAGGGACTCTACTTCCTGCCTAAGAATCCCCTCATGAGAATGGTCCCTGAAGAGGAATGGAATGGGGGTTTTGGAGGAGGTAGGGAAATAAACTATCGCATAGCCAGATTGAATGATATCTAATACCCACCCACCCATTGTTATAGCACTCCAGTTGTAGAAATAGAGTGCTAAATGACTGTTGAAGGATATGCGGGTATAGCATAGTGGCAGCATAATTGATGGTGTGCAGTTCTTGAACTTCCATTATAGATGTAACAGGAAAATTTTAATAAGCGCACAAGAGAGACTTGAGCAAAACGTTCGTAAGTAGGACCTAGCGGCTTTGTTAGGACAAAATTAAAGTTCTATGACAGCAGAGGCTCCCTAATGGGAGGAACCTAGAGAATGTAGGGGAGAGAAGTCCTTGTTCTTAACAGAATTGTGTTGAGCAGATATTACAATCATACGTCAGAGTGGCACCTTCCCTGGATTACAAAAGGACGATTTGAACCCTTCAAAAACAGAAACAGTCCACATTACTCAGTAGGCTATCCTCCACATTGTAAGGTGAGTATTTCTAGGTTGGAAAGCAGAATCCTCCCTTGTGGTTAAGACAGGATCTCTGGACAGATAGGCAGTGATTATGGTGGCTCTCTGGCCATCTGAAGATACCAGTGCTAACAAGGTCACATTGAGGCTATTAATATGTTTGCTCTATCCAAACTGCTAATCCTTATGACCTTGGGTATCAGGGAAATGGGAGAGAAGGCATATAGAATAGTGTTGGATTGAGTTCTGCTGCATCACATCTTAGAGGGAGCTTTTGTTCCTGTATACTCTTCTGTGATAAACTTGGCATCTGGTAGTTTTGTTGGGCACAAAGACGTCTATTACTGCATGGCCCTAGACATCAAATAGTGCTACAGTCACCACTGGTTTCAAGGACCACTTCTGTTGATCATTAGATGGCCTGCTGAGCAAATCTACCTCCATCTAATCCACCCCTGCAAGGTGAAATGCAATTAGGTTTAGCTTTAGCTGAAGCACAGCCATAGTTTTATTGCCTCCACAGATAAGAGCTGGGAATGCACTCCTCCATGTTTATTGATACAGCACACAGCTATAGTGTTGTCTGTAAGCAACTGTATTATATAATTCTGCAGGGATCCGCAATAGGCTTTAAGGGCCCACTGCACCGTTCTAAGCTCTAGCATGCTGATATACAATCTGGACTAAGGTGTTTCAACAATCATGTACCTAGAGGTCTTGGTACTGTGGACCCCAGGCCAAATCGGAGGTAACAGTGGTGACTGTGATGGCAAGTGATGGGCAATGAAGATTTCTCCTCCTCCCCAGATGATGTTTTCCCTGTTCTCCCACCAATGAAGCTATTGGAGTACTTGAGGCTGGATGGCCAGTTTCCTTTGAAGGCTGTGTACATTCAGTGTATAGTCAATCACTGAGATGGAATGCACCCCTGTATTCACACTACTGTAATCACCATTGTATAAAATATGCCTTGTAATGTATCATTTGAAAAAGAATAACTCACTGGTCAATAATATCATGATGAAATGTGTGTAGCATCACTATATGTAAAGTTACAAACAAACTGAAATTGGGTCTCAAATGTGTTTACCAGACAAGGCTGGGGAGTGGGTAAACCAGTTTCTCAAAGACAAAGGACAAGCTCACACCTCTAGCAAGGTGTCATCAAAGCTGATGGGCAATCACCTGTCAAGTGGCGGTTCTTTTGCAAGGAAAGGGGGCAGAAACAAATAGATCTGCATCTTAGCAAACAGAATGGAACCTCTTTCACCACCATACTCCTCCATCCTCACAATGGGAGTGAACTTTATTTAGGGTAACCCTCAAGAAAATATATTTCAAAGACTGACTAACTATAAAAGTGGGGGGGGGGAAGGGGGAAAACATGCCAAGTTGTATCTCCCTATCCATCTCTTGCTCTTTCACCTAAGACAACAATAGAAACCCTCCATTTGATTTTGGGAGAAATCCTGACCTGAAATTTGGTCAGCCATGTTGCTGGGAGCATGTGGTAAGAATGTTATCTTGAACCAAGTCTAGCTGGTTAAGTTTTAGTCCTAGGAAGCATTTTACTTTTATTTCTCTAGTCATTTCTGAGTTTAATGCCTTATACTTGTACTCACTTAAACCCTATCTCTTTGTAGTTAAATAAACTTGTTTTATTCTTTATCAAAACTAATCCAGTGTTGTGAACTGCATGGGTATTCCTTTTCAAGTACCAGACTGTTGCATACTGATCCCCTCAGAGAGGCAATGGACCTAATATATTTGGACTGTTCAGGAGAGGGCTGGATAGTGCAGAACACACATTTTTGGGGGGAAATTTGGGAGTGGGATTGTGTTGGAGTCACCCTGCAACTAGCAACCAAAGGCTGCTGGAAGCCAAAGTGTGTCTGCTGTTCGGTCACAGGCTGCTGGGGTCAGAGTTGCTGGGCACACAGACACTCAGGGTGTGACCTGCATGCTGGATGACTGTTTGTGAGTGGCCTTGGTGGAGGTTACAGCAGCAAAGCACTGTGACGCACCCAAGTTTGCAGGGCAGCATTGAGACAGCCCCTCACTGGTCTGGATTGCACCCAGAATATCATAACCTTGCAGCACTGGATGGTGGGTTTCATATTCAGATAAGCAAAAGGTGTAATGATGTAGGTCCAATGAAGTTATCAAGCCTACTAGTCTTCAGAAAAATTGTGAGGTCTGAACTAGTTGTTCCCTGAATTGTGAGGGAGTCTCAAGTTTTGAAAAATCTTTTCTCCGGAAGGAAGGCTCTGGGCTCAGTGGAGTCCATGAATATGACAACAAAGGTGATGTGTTCTACAGGAGGTAGTCTGATTGTCAAACAAGAGGCGCACTTCTTAAAGCCGTTATAGGGTGCATGGTCCAAAGGCTCCTAAAACAAGGGAAGGGATATTTACTTTAAACTATCCTATGCTACTCTGGCCTAAATATTTACAATAAGGTCTTAAACTAGGCTGAGGGGAAAAAGTCCTGAAGTCAGGAAGGATTACTGTTCATTCTCTGTGGCAGCAAACAAACTGAGGTGACTGGAGGGTGGGGTGGGGGCTCCCTTAAGTGTGTGGTGATGTCAACATTACACAAGAAAAATTGAAATGGGCCATCCTGATTACCACTACAAAAGTGATTTTTCCTCAGGCTGATAATAGCCCACTTTAATTGATTTGTCTCGTTAGAATTGGTTAGGCAACTCCCACCTTTTCATGTTCTGTGTGTATATATATCTTCCTACTGTATTTTCCACTCCATGCATCTGATGCATCCCACGAAAGCTTATGCCCAAATAAATTTGTTAGTCTCTAAGGTGCCACAAGTACTCCTTGTTCTTTTCACTTCTATAGGTATTACTGAGGCAACATATTCAGGAGCATTTGAGAGAATATTAGATGTTCAGAGGTTTAAAGTATCTGTAATTACACTAAGATAAAAATGTATAAGGAATATTAATCTTCATTCTTCATAACATCAGACAATACCTAGTGTTTGAAAGAAACTTCTCTCAATAAGCAACTTACTGCATTATTTTCTATTTTAGGGGTTTGTATACCATCTTCTGAAGAGTCTGGTATTGGCCAATGATGGGGAAAAAGAATAGAAGACACTGTTCCTACAATGACCTAAGCCAGAGGTGGGCAAACTATGGCCCGCGGGCGACATCCGGCCCGGCCCCTGAGCTCCTGGCCCGGGAGGCTAGCCCCTGGCCCCTCCCCCACTGTTCCCCCTTCCTTGCAGCCTCAGCTCACTGCGCCACTGGCGCAATGCTCTGGGCAGCGGGCTGCGAGCTCCTGGGGCAGCGCAGCTGCAGAGCCGGTGCTGCGTGCTGCACTGTGGCGATGGCGTGGCTGGCTCCACCGGTGCTCCAGGCAGCACGGTAAGGGGGCAGGGAGCAGGGGGGTTGGATAGAGGGCAGGGGAGTTTGGGGTGGTGGTCAGGGAGTGGGGATAGGGGTCGGGGCGGTCAGAGGGCAGGGAAGAGGGGGGTTGAATGGGGGCAGAGGTCCAGGGGAGCAGTCAGGAATGAGAGGAAGGTTTGGATGGGGCGGTGGGGGCAGTCAGGGGACAGGGGGAAGGTGTGGTTGGATGGGGCAGGGGTCCCGGGGGAGCCATCAGGAATGAGAGGAGGGGTTGGATGGGGTGGGGGGGGCAGTCAGGGGCGGGGATTCTGGGGGCAGTCAGGGGACAGGGAGCGGGTGGGGTGGATGGGGCAGGAGTCCGGGGGGAGAAACCGGGTCATGACCCCCTCCCCTAACCAGCCCTCCATACAATTTCCAAAACCCAATGCGACCCTCAGGTCAAAAAGTTTGCCCGCCCCTGACCTAAGCTAATAAAATGTACTTATGGATTAATAATTATTACAGAGCATTCCTAGATTTTTGATATCTCAGCATAATGGAATCGGGGCAGATGTCTTGAGTAGAATTACAGGAGATATAGAGTAGTTTTGATGTAATGAATAGATTTTTTTTTAATCAATTATAGAACTTTATAGTCCCTTACATGTCCATAGACTGTTCCAACTGTTAATGTTTGAGAACCCTTGTACAGTAGGATAATGCACATGCAGCTGGACAAAAAGGCATGAAACAACGAATCTCCATACAACTACAGTTCAAAAGATATGTTGACTAGGGAAGGGCGGTATAAAATAATTTGTCTTTTGAAAAGCAAATTTATTTGGTGTAATTTTAGTAGCTTCACTTATTCTCACCTCATCAGATCCTGGACTAAATTCATATCCAATTGCAAAACACTTGAAGCCATAGAAACAGGCCTTTTCATCTTTCACGTAGTCTGATGCAGTCTCCAGTGAAAAGAGTGCTTCATTTCCTAACAGGATACAATGAAATTAACATAAAATAAATAAATCTATGTGAATTCCTCCTTTTTCATCCACTTTTATATCACAAAAATAATTATGAAAATTAGCCTTTAAACATAACTGGTAGAAGAAACACTTGAGCAATCTGCATATCTATACCACATAAAAGAAAGCAAATAATAACTCCATGATATCCAACCAATTGCTATAATTGGCCCACCTATCTAATCTGAGTCCTAGCTTCTCCTCAGCTTTATATTCTAAAAACTAAACTGAATAATTCAGTCTCATTATTTAAGATAGTCATCAAAAGTCTAATTTTGACTAAGTAAAGTTTACTTCTCTGGAAATTACTATAATTTAAGTTCACTTCTGTTAATTATACTCCAAAATCCTCCATTTTATTTAAACAGGCAATTTATAAACTCTTTTTACCTGGCAACACTAAAACCATGGTAGGCCATCCAGATGTGCCTGAAAATTTCTTTAGTTCAATCCATGAATTAAGATTTTCATGAACAGGAGTTTGCTTTTGTCCAAATCCTGAGTTCAGGACAATTCTGACAGGAATTAGCAAGCGAAGGACATCCTCTGATTGAGCTGTGCCACACTGAGCATCAAACTCTATTGTCATCCACCTGACGCATTCTGGGAAAGTCACCTAAAACAAACAACAGTTGGAAAATAAACACAAAAATCATTGTGCACTTCTAATTAATTTTGGGTTAAGTATCTTACTTTAAATTTAATATTTAAAAATGGTCAAGTATTGAAAGATAAAGGAAAGTTACTTATCTCTACAGTAATTGGAGTTCTTCAAGATGTGTTGCCTCTGAGTGTTCCATTTCTGGTATGCATAGACCATAAATCAGAACATGTTAGCCAGCAGTGTCAGTTAGGTCAGGCCTATGCCCATCATAGCCTAGAGCCCCCAAGCTGCTCTCCCACAAGGGCATACAAGGGAGGAGCAACCAACTGACCCTCAGTTCCTTCGCCAATGCAAAGTCAAGATGTAATTAGACTCCGTGGGAGGGGAAAAAGGAGGGTGAGTCATGAAACGCATATATACACCACATTTTGAAGGTACTGTCGGGATAAGTAATTTTCCTTTCTTCGAGTGCTTGTCTGTGTGTTCCACTTATGGTGACTCACAAGCAGGTAACAATTAATGGAGGAGAGTAGAAGGATTCTAATTAAATAATGACTTAGGCATGGCTCTGCCAAATCAAGCATCAGATGTACATTTCTCTATGATGGAAAAGTGCCTGGAATAGCTGCTCTATGTACAACAGCTATGGAAATACCCCTAAAAGAAGCTGCAGATGCTCTAGTCAAGTGCACTCTAATTTACCTTGGAGGCTCTAATTTAGAACATATTAATATAGTCTGACACCACCTACATGTGGTTCAGATTGCTTGCACTTTAGATCTTTCAGCAAAGGCAATGAACAACCTAGGGGATACTCTAGATGACTTTGTTCAGTGTAAATAAAATACTAGGACCTGGACAACATCTAAAGGGTGCAGGTTGGCTTCCCCTTTTGATGAATATGTTTTTTTGTTTGTTTTGGGTTTTTTTTTGGGGGGGGGGGGGCGTGCAGACAGGCAAATGAATGTATTGGATCAAATGAAAAGGAGTTTCAGAGAAACTTAGACCACACCTTAATTATCTCTGAGAAAGATCAGATAAGGAGGACCAGCTATAAGGTCTTGAAGTTGACCCACTCATGACAAGGTAATTGTCACAAGGAAAGCCATCTTCAGGGAAAGATGAGCTAACAAATGTGTGGTCATAGGTTCCAATGCAGAGCCTACTGAACAATTAAGGATGATATTAATATCCTAGGACAGGGGTGGTCCTCGGATTGTAGGAAATACTTGAAGGAGTCCTCAAAAGAAATATGATCACAGGATGATGAGAAAAAAACATGACAATCAGCTGATGATGAGCAAAAATGGATGCCAAAGAAACACAGAGAATATATAGATAATCCAGATATTTTCAAAAAGATAGTCAATATTCAAGGATATGAGGGATCTCTGTCTTTGATGGGGAGAGGCTAGGCTAGGCTAACCACATAGAAAAGCACTTTCATTTTAAATAAACCTACTAGGATCTTATCTACTCTGAATCAAGATATTCTACACATCCATACAGCAAGTTTTCTCCATATCTTTTAACTAGAGAGCTTCCAGGCCATGAGATAAAGAGAGGCAAGATCTGGATGAAGTTAGTCTGACTGACCAAGTCTGGCAAGAGAGGAAATGATATTTGGATAAAGTCTGAAGATCTGGAAATGAATACTGCCTTTGCCAGGACGGAGTTAGGAGAATGACTAATGCGGAATCCTAGTTGATTTTCCTCAAATCGCAAGGGGTTAATGGGATTACAGGATAGGCATAATAGAGTGTCATTCCATGGAATCAGAAAAGCATCTGCCTTCAAACCGGGGCTCTAACATCTTCCAGAGCAGAAACTTGCATTTCTTATTTCCTCTGATTGTAAACAAATCTGCATGGGGAATGCCCCAATGCCTGAACATTGACTTGATGACCGAGTCTTTGATCAACCACTTGAGGTCCTGTATGAAGTGGTTCTTTGTGCAAGTGTCTGCTCAGATTATCTGCCAATATGTCATGAAGACCTATCAGATGAATTACTGATTATCCAGTGGTGGATACACCAATTCCACAGCACAATAGTTTCTCTGCATAAGGGAGTAGATCTGGCACCTCCTTGTTTCTTGATATATAACATTGAAGTGGTATTGATCATCACTATTTGGATGTTTTGGGCCTTGATGTGAGTCAGACATACTGCTCTGAGCTCTAGGATGTTGCTATGCAGACAAACCTCCTCTTTGGACTACCAACCTTGTACTGTGAGGGCATCCAAATGCTCTCCCCATCTGAACATTAAGACATGGGGCACTATACACTTTACAGGAAATATAAAAGAGGGAGAAAGGAACACCTTGACATATTTGCTGAGTGTCCTTCTGCCAGTTTGGATCTGAATGTCTAAGCTGTGCAAACTGGAATGATAGAAAGACTTCAGCTATCCTCGGACGACAACTTAGATGAAGCTGGGACAGAGAATCACAAACGTCCATGAGGTTATACGGCCTAGCAAATGCAGATGTGTCCTCATGGTCATCTCAGGAGTCTGCCGGGGCTGGATGATCAGTAGACACTTGTTGCATCTGGTTTGAGGCAGATACACCTCCACCATAAAGGAGTCTATGAGGGCTGCAATAGATTCTATTTTCTGTGTAGAAATTAGATGTTATTTGTTTTGCTTATTTTTAGTCCCAACCTCAACAGGTACAGTATATATTGATTGTGATCTGCTGAGGAGATTTTCCATGAGCTAGCCAATTCAGAGGTGGGCTGCTGCTACCACTATACGCTCATGGATTTATCCAGGAGATAAGTTTTTAACCTTGCCTCCTTGGATTCAGCAGTTTGTTACTAGTACATTACAAAGTACATTGGTCTTTAATGTGCTCCTCCCCAGGGCAGAATGTCTATGGTTGGGGGTAGAGCTGCCTCATACAATGAACAATATTTAAAGCCAAGAGATTTTTGACCATCTCTAAGGCTGACTCCTGGTACTGGCTGAATGAAACAAAGAAAACTTGCCTGAACTAAAGCCTACACTAAGACACAATAAAATTCCTATCAACTGTCTTAAACTGTATTAAAACTGTCCTATCCTAAGAACAGGTATTTACAATAAATTGGAAAAAGTGGGAGCAGAAGTACAAGAGGCCAGAAACTGCTAAGTCAGTGCTGTGTCTCAGCCACAGGCAGTGTAAAGGAAATGAGGGTGGTTGGTTGTGCCAGCCCCTTTATGTTCTTCTGTGGAGAGAGGGTGCTAAAAGGCATGAAACGTACAGGCATGGCCCAACGGACACCACTGGCTAAAACATTCTGATCTCTGGCACATGCGCACCAGAAATGACACACACGTAGATAAGTATGCAAAGAAAAACAGGTTATTTTTATCTAAAATCAAACAATTGAATCAAATGACTGACTTCTGGGGACTGTAGGAAACTAGTCTGTAATCTCAGTTATCCTTATTAGATTCCAATCATCCTTGAAAAGAAATCCAAAAGAAGAAGGCATGAGAATAATCTTTTGTACACAGATTCATCTTATTTGCCCATTTTCCAGACCATTTCCCCCTTCTTTTTGCATTGCTCTAATGGCTTCACCATTCTCTACCAAATTAAGCATAAGCTTCTTGTCATCATTTTAAGTCGCTCTGCCACTTATTCTTGCTTTACCATGCAATATTCCATGCAATAGCAACACAATTATGATTAATGGATTTAATGTTTTTTGTCTCAAAGTAATCTCTTTAAAAATCAGGCTAATCTTTACTTTGTGAGACGGCCTTACCTAGGCTTTACTTCATGTGAGTGCCTTACCTATGCAATTCCATGCCTTGTTCTTTGGACTTCTTTTCATCTTAACCTTGAAGTCCTAATTTCCCGGGTTTGTAATGTTTGTTTTGGGATAATTACAACAGCCACAGAATGATTTTTTCCCCTTAAATTACTGATTGGTACTGTCAATATTAATACCAGTTTAAATGGTTTTTGTCCAGGATTTATTTTTCAATTATCTATTTCATATATAAACACTAAACAAGAGAGCCAAAGAGAATGCCACCAGAGTTGAACATATATAGCATCAATCTTAGATAACTTTTTGAGGACAGATTCAGTGGTATGCTTTGGCTGTTTTGTGCTCTCCTAAAACAGTACAAAGTAGCTGAACCATACTGGTGAATCTGACGCTTAGTATGTCAGCATGTAGCTACAGAACTTCGAGACAAGCGAGAGCTGGGGACCTAGTATTCTACCAAGGAACTCTTTACACAAATGTACAGTCTTCCTCATCACTGAGTCATTTCAATCAACAGAAATAAGCATGCAAATTAACTAGAGAGGAAAGATGATGATTGGCTGAGTTGCCTCTAATGTTACAGCAGCCGCATTTAAGATCAACCTAACCTATTGACCTGGAACTGTACAGTTATAACAATTACTAATAAGTTAGTTTAATTTCAATATCATTTCCTGAAATGCAACCTATGCATAAGTCATCTATTGGCAACATTTGAAGGAGTATGCTAAAATGTTATTGAGATCATCAGAGACAAAAAAGATCTGACAGTGTGCTAAGTTTCTTAAATGAACCCTTTTATATTAATTTTAACTCAAACTAATTAAGTTTTATTTGTATGTTGTCTGGAGCTTCGGGGGTTCCATGTATGGAGAAAATATTACAGGGTCAGAAACTCAACTCCTGTAGGAAGCCCAGACAGTTTAAAGCTCAGGTGATTATTTCTATTTTCTGCATCAGCTGTCCTGCTCCCTAAACAGAACATCTTATTTTCAAGAGCAGCAGATATGAATTGCAGCTTGTGTTGCTTCAGTACTTGCAACCTTCTGCTTCATAGTTTTGTCTTCATTATGAAACGTATCAACTCTAGAAATGAAAATGATTTATTGAAAACTACAGACAGGGCTTAACCTCTGAGAGCTCTGCATCCTAAATGGTGGTCAGATTTGAGGCAACTTCATGAATAATTTTAATTGCCACATCTTCCGGCCAACAAAACAAACTGGTGGTGCTACAGCATCGGGGGTCTCCCCTTGCTCAGAGCTAACATTACTTACACTCAAAGCTCTGATATCAGATTTCATAAGAGTACATTTTTGCACTCAATAAGCATGTTGGGGATATGCATTTGGACTATCTTTACCTATGAGAACAAACTTGTGGGGTATTATCCATTAGGTTCATGAATAGGCAGGAGTTTGTGAGGAGCTCACAAGGAAGGTGTTTCAGTCAAAGCAAAGCATTACACGACTCCCTAGCTTTGTTCCTTTAAACTTTGAAAATGTGACGCATATTAAACTATCCTTTGTCTATTTTGATTCATAACAAGAAATAAAACTTTACATTGTTAAAGAAACCATCTAAACAGACCCTCACTGCTGAACAGAAAATAAATCAGACAGTATGTTACAACAGTGAAAACATGAGTTATAGCAACTGTTAAAAATATGTATACAAAATGAGAATTTAACTAAAAGACTTAGGTTATGTACAGCTTTGCATCGGCTACCTCGGAACAAGTACATGACTCATAGCATGAGATTCATATATATAAAATCAAACAACAGTGCAAACACTGTATGCTCACAGCATAGAGACAAACTAGGTAACAATTTTAGAGATGTTTTAAAAATCTATGCATACTTTCAGTTTATGATATGTCCTAAAAATGCATACAGACATAGAAATGGTCCTTACCTTATAGTGGGTAACACAAGCTGGTTTATAAGGGTGTTCACTTTCTATGACAGCATAGTGATTAGAGGTAGTACCAGCTGAGAGCCCTTGTTCAGGTTGGTTTCCTGTGGTGCTGTCTGTAGACTGATTGGGGTTAAAGGAAGGAGGGGCATACTTCTGATTCAAAACTGCTACAGAGGGAAGTAACTGCTGTACTAGGCCAAAGACTTCAACAGCAACCTGTAGTATGACACAGTAGAATATAAAATATTGTAAGATATTGGGAGGAAAAAGTCAAAAAGCCTATAGTTCTCTACAGTAATTTTGAGACTATTCAAAAAAAGTAACACTATCATAGTTCAGTCATGTCATTTTGTTTACTTAAAAAAAAACCCAAAACATCCTCCTCGTTTCCTTCGGCCACCATTCCAGAGTACATGCTTCCATGGTGATGATGGGTTCTGCTTGATAATGATCCCAAATCATGCAGACAGATGCACATTTATTTTCATCATCTGAGTTAGATGCCACCAACAGAAGGTTGATTTTCTTTTTTTGTGGTTGAGGTTCTGTAGTTTCTGCATCAGTGTTGTTCTTTTACGATTTCTGACAGCATGTTCCACACCTCATTCCTCTCAGATTTTAGAAGGCACTTCAGATTCTTAAACCTTGGGTCAAGTGTTGTAACTATCTTTAGAAATCGCACATTGGTACCTTCTTTGTGTTTTGTCAAATCTGCAGTGAAAGTGTTCTTAAATCGATCAACATGTACTGGGTCATCATCCGAGACTGCCATAACATGAAATACATGGTAGAATGCAGGTAAAACCACCGAGCAGGAGACATACAATTCTCTCCCAAGCAGTTCAGGCACAAATTTAATTAATGCATTTTTTTTTAAGTGAGCATCAGCAGCATCGAAACATTTCCTCTGGAATGGTAGCCGAAGCATGAAGGGGCACATGAACGTTTAGCATATCTGGCACATAAATACCTTGCAACACGAGCTACAAAAATGTCATGCGAACGCCTGTTGTCACTTTCAGATGACATTGTAAATCAGAAGCGGGCATTATTACATTATCTCCCATAAATGTAAACAAATTTGTTTGTCTTAGGGATTGGCTGAACAAGAAGTAGGACCGAGTGGACTTGTAGGCTCTAAAGTTTTACATTGCTTTGTTTTTGAGTGCAGTTACGTAAAAAAAAAAATAAAATCCACATTTCTAAGTTAAACTTTCACTATAAAGAAATTGCACAACAGTACTTGTATGAGGTGAATTGAAAAATACATTTTCTTTTTTCGTCTTTTTTACACTGCAAATATTTGTAAACAAAAATAATATAAAGTGAGCATTGTATACTTTGTATTCTGTGTTGCAATTGAAATCAATATATTTGAAAATGTAGAAAAACATCCAAAAATATTTATAATAAATGTCAATTGGTATTCTATTATTGTTTAACAGTGCGATTAACCGTAAATAATTTTTTTATCAAGTTAATTTGTTTTGAGTTAATCATTTACGTTAGCTGCGATTAACTGACAGCCCTAGAAAATAAGATACTGAATAAATAGTAAATAAAAGTTTAGTTACTACATAAATGCGGTATTTTCCCCTTGATCCCTATGCAAACCTCCTACAGACATTAACTATTGTGAATTTAGGGGCATATAAACTCTTGAATTTAATTATGCTCAGTGGCGGGGATACAAACATGAAGTATGTCCCTCTCCTCCAACTGGGTTTAACATCTCTATAAACAATGTAAAATTTACTTCACACCTACGTTTCTAGATTTTAAGCCCACTTCAGAGAAGGGCCATATACATTTGCCATTGACCTTCCGAAGTATAGTGCCATGTACATTCACAGCAATATGCAGATGATTAATCATCATCATAGGCCATAAAAGTTACCAAATGGGGGGGGAACCCCCCCACAAATGGATGAATAATCACCCTCACATATGAATTTGCTAAAGAGGGGCACAGATTTCACCAAGCCAAAAGCAGTTATTTTCACGTGAAAAAAGCAGGAAAGTCTCTCTTTAAAACAAAGAAATCCCATTTCAAGATCCAGAATCACAGCAATGTTAAAATCTTAAAGCAAACAATGAAATCCCATGAGGTTATTGCTTAATTTGTGAATGGTGAAATAATATCAAGTTGTATCAATAAGCCTCATATTTTTGTTACTTTGGAGTGACCAATGCACTGCAGAAGATGGAAAGCGTCCATCTTAAAGAATCTTTTGTTATTTTTTGGTAAAATTAGTTTTGAGGCTACAAGTTACAGCCATATGGACTAAAGATGTTATAACAGCAGAAATTAAATAGAGTATTCAAGTAGTCAGGGCCTGATTAAATTTATCATAGGGTACTTAAAGAACTAGCTGAGGCAATCTTGGAACCATTAGCAATTATCTTTGAGAACTCATGGAGGACAGTTGAGGTCCCAGAGGACTGGAGAAAGGCAAACATAGTACTTATTTTTAAAAAGGGGGAACAAAGACGACCTGGAGAATTACAGACCAGTCAGCCTATCTTCAATATCTGGAAAGATTATTTATTAATTATTAAACAATCAATTTGTAAGCACCTAGAGCAGGGGTTCTCAAACTTCATTGCACTGTGACCTCCTTCAGACAATAAAAATTACTACACGACCACAGGAGCGGGGGACTGAAGCCTGAGCCAGCCCAAGCCCCCCTGTGCGGGGGAGCCAAAGCTAAAGCCCAAGGGCTTCAGCCCCAGGCAGGGGGCCTGTAACCTGAGTCCCAATGCCGAGGGCTGAAGCCCTTGGGCTTTGGTCCTGGGATACAGCAAGTCTAAGCCAGCCCTGGTGACCCCATTAAAATGGGGATGCAACCCACAGTTTGAGAACCGCTGACCTACAGCATAATAGGGCTATAAGGAATAGCGAACAGGGATTTGTCAAGAACAAATCATGCCAAAACAATCATAATTTCTTTCTTTGACAGGGTTACTGGCCTAGTAGACTGGGAGAAGCAATAGACATGATATATATTTATTTCAGTAAGGCTTTTGACACAGTCCCACACAACATTCTCATAAGCAAACTAGGGTTTAGCAGACTGGGAGAAGCAATAGATCTGGAGAAAGGGGTAAACAGTGAGCTGGCAAAGTTTGCAGACGATACTAAACTGCTCAAGATAGTTCAGACCAAAGCATACTGTGAAGAACTTCAAAAAGATCTCACAAAACTAAGTGATTGGGCAACAAAAGGGCAAATGAAATTTAATGTGGATAAATGTAAAGTAATGCACATTGGAAAAAATAACCTCAACTATACATACAATATGATGGGGGCTAATTTAGCTACAACTAATCAGGAAAGAGATCTTGGAGTCATCGTGGATAGTTCTCTGACGACGTCCACGCAGTGTGCAGCGGCAGTCAAAAAAAGCAAACAGGATGTTAGTAATCGTTAAAAAAGGGATAGAGAATAAGACGGAGAATATCTTATTGCCCTTATATAAAGCCATGATATCCCCACATCTTGAATACTGTGTATAGATATGGTCTCCTCATCTCAAAAAAGATATACTGGCATTAGAAAAGGTACAGAGAAGGGCAACTAAAATGATTAGGGGTTTGGAACGGGTCCCATATGAGGAGAGATTAAAGAGGCTAGGACTTTTCAGCTTGGAAAAGAGGAGACTAAGGGGGGATATGATAGAGGTATATAAAATCATGAGTGGTGTGGAGAAAGTGAATAAGGAAAAGTTATTTACTTGTTCCCATAATATAAGAACTAGGGGCCACCAAATGAAATTAATGGGCAGCAGGTTTAAAACGAATAAAAGGAAGTTGTTCTTCACACAGCGCACAGTCAACCTGTGGAACTCCTGGCCTGAGGAGGTTGTGAAGGCTAGGACTATAACAGCATTTAAATGAGAACTAGATAAATTCATGGAGGTTAAGTCCATTAATGGCTATTACCCAGGATGGGTAAGGAATGGTGTCCCTAGCCTCTGTTTGTCAGAGGGTGGAGATGGATGGCAGAAGAGAGATCACTTGATCATTACCTGTTAGGTTCACTCCCGCTGGGACACCTGGCATTGGTCACTGTTGGTAGACAGGATACTGGGCTGGATGGACCTTTGGTCTGACCCACTATGGCCATTCTTATGCTCTTATGAAATGCGGTCTAGATGAAATTACTATAAGGTGCGTGCAGAACTGGGTGAACGATTGTAGTGAGAGAGTATTTATCAATGGTTCACTGTGTAGTAACTATGGCCAGAGCACTAGCACCTGCTGCAGGTTTGAGTTATTGACATGCTATAAGGGCCTGCAGCTGTGATGCAGCAGCATGGAATGCTGACCTGGGAAGGGAACAGCTCACTGGAGAGTAGCTCAAACTGGGGAAGGGGCTTGGGTGACTTCAGAAGGGGAGACAGTTGGAAAAAGCTGTTAGAGAAGGAGGAGGGAAGAAGAATCTAGATGCTGAGTTAGTGGATGAACTGGGGCTGGGGTACAAAGTGAGGTTAAAAAAACTGGACATGTTTAGTTTTGAGACTGAGGGGGAACCTGAAAGTAGGACAAGAAGTAATGGGCTTAATCTGCAGCAAGGGAGATTTAGGTTAGATATGAGGAAAACCTTTCTAACTATAAGGGTAGTTAAGCTCTGGAATAAGCCTCCAAGGGAGGCCGTGGAATCCCCATCAATGGAGGTTTTTAAGAACACGATGAACAAACTCAGGGATGGTCTAGGTTTATTTAGTTGGTCCTGTCTCAGCACAGAGGGCTGGATTTACTGACTTCTCGAGGTCCCTTCCAGCACTACATTTCTATAAATCTATGAAAAAGCGGCTAAGAAAACATTGCTATAAATTGGTCTTTTAGATCATAAGTAATATTCTGCGACAACAGTAGAAAAAGGTAAGGGTAGAGAGAGCGCCTATAGGAAATTCTTGTTACAATGGCTGAAAAATCCTAACACTTTTGAGGCAGCTTTTAATGTGTCAAGTGTTCTAAGGTTAATCAGGAATTCACAAGAATACACAAACACAAAAGTGCCTTTCAGACCACAGCCATCTCTTATACAGCATTTTAAAAATACATCTGTACAGGCTACTAAAGAACATACCTTGGGAATAGCTGCAGCTACTGGTCCTATGTAGGCTATTATAAGGGGAAGCAGCATTGAAAACAGACTGGAAGAGCTGAGCAATTCTGGAATGTCTTCAGCTAAACAAAGATTATTACAATAATTAGATATTCTTTATAATGAACGTACTATAGCTCTGACAAAATTATTTTTTTCTGTTTTGCCTACTGTATAGTAATAGTTTATAAAGTAAAAACTTAGGTTTACAGTGATGCATTTTCAGTATAAATTATTTTCATCATAAAGTTTAAGAGTCAATTTAAGAGCCTGCAAAATTCATTTTAAGCTAAAATCCTCATTTAAAACATTCACTGTATAAAAACCTTCATTTGTTAGAGCAGAAATAAATTATTCTGTCAAATGATTACTAAAGGTATAAAAACTGTTTACGTTCAAAAATAAAATCTGCAACAAATTTCTAAAATATGGTCTAATATTTTAGAGTCAATTAATCCTTATTCTGAAGTAGTAGCCCAAACACTACTTTAATTATTTAAGACCAAATGATAACCTCCTAAAAATGGGGATTTATTGCAAAAATGCTCAAACACATTATCTTCAACAGTTTTGCTGATAAACACAGTAATGAAAAACATGCTGTAATTTATACAGTAGACAGTGGCACCGGATCAGGGGGAGGGTGAAAGGGGCCCAGGGCCCTCTCACTTTTTGAAAATGGGGGTTGTGGTCCGTCCATTTTTCACTGGGGCAGACCTTGCCCTCTTCCCCTCCTCTTCCCTGTGAGGTCCCAACCTCCTGCCAGGCCAGTGTGGAGCCTGACCAGGAAGCCCGGGCAGCTGTCGGGAACCGCGGCAGAACCTCAACCTGCCCTAGGTGGGGGACCCAGGGAGCACGGACACGAGCCAGGGGCTGCGCAGCCCTAGTTGAGGGTCCGCCACAGTTCCCCACAGCTGCCTGCCTGGCTCTTATCATGGCCGGGCTTCGGCTCTGCGGCTCCCCACAGGCGGAGTCGGGTCGGGGAGAGCAGCGCTGGCAGCTGCGGGAAGCGGGTCCCTTCACCAGTCCTGGGCAGGAGCTCCAGGGGGAGGGCAGGGGGCTGCTTTCGGCCCCCACTCACTGGGCGGGAGGTGGTTGGGCTCCCCAACCCTGTTCTGGCTTGGCCAGGGAAAGGGTCTTGGGGGGGAGGTCCCCCCACTTTTGGCAAGGCTCTGGCACCCTTGACAGTAGATGAATTTTCCTGAGGGGCAGGAGGGGGAAGAATTATATGTTAATACTATCTATACTGTAGAGACACTGATCTCACTACCATTAATTCGTGTTACCAAAGAATAAAACTAAGTTTCAATTAGAAAAAAAGTCTTACCATCTACAGCAAGAGCCCTGTGTAACAGGTCTTTGGCAGCTCGTACCACAGCACTCACAACAGAAATAGCTCTGCTACAGTTTTTATCTTCTTCATTAGCTTTACTTAAAAGCTGTGACTGTAGATCTCCATCATACTCACTCCTGGATAGCAGATTAAGTTAAAGTGAGTTCATAATACACAAATTTTACCTTTAAAAGATATTACATACACTTGACTTTTAAAGCAAATCTTGACAGAGGCTTATTTTAAATTGCACAAAGAAAATCAATTAATTTATAAAGAAAGAGCAAAAAAAATGAACAAAATAAATAATACCGCATGTAGTGAGAGACCATGGAAGAAATATTGGGAGTGACAGCTACATAAAAATCTTTCCAGATCAATTTACTTTGATTTGAAGAGAAAACGTATATCAAGTTGAAATATATTACTCTATTTAGATGCTGTCTTCAAATCTTCATATCAGAGAAACATCCTAATTGCTATACTGGACTAGGTCAATTGTCCATCTACTCCAACAAAAAATTCTATCAGATTCACCACAGGAATGTATAAAACTTCTATAATGGAAATTTTAGTGATAGAACTTCCTCAAGAAATGTTTTTCCCTCCTAACTGAAGGAATAATTTAAGAGATTATGCTAGGACATAGTGCCTCCCTATGAATTAATGGAGCAGTATACAAAACCTTTCCAGTCATGCACATAAGGTGCTAGACAGCTCAGTAGACACTTTGAAAGCAGTCATATGATTTTTTTTAAACACACATTTTATTTTAAACCCAAACTGAAACTATATCCAGACTCTGAACAGGGGGAGGGTCTCGACTGTCAAACTGAAGAGAAGTCATCAGGTAGGAAAATGTCCCATTCTCTCCTAGATTCTCTATGCTAGCCCAAAACACTTGAGACTTTCCAAAGTAACAGTCTAGACCATTAAGTGGAACAAGCATCCCACAATGCCCCACATGATGCTCCTTCTGAATACTGCATTGGAAGAGGCCTGGGCATCCACTCAATAGTGTTTGAAAAAGGCATGGAGTGATGCCCAAGTGACTTCTTTACACCAGCAAAGATGTTTATGCCAATAATTCTGACAAGGAGTTCTTGAGTGATTCTGGGACTTCCTTTCTGCTACTGATGTAACCCTCACTGGGGAGTTATTTTATCCAATAAGACAGGGTAGATTTGGCTGTTGCTTTTTCCCTTCTTAAATTCTTCTTTCATGAAGGAAAGCCTCCTTGACTCCCTGAACTTCTGAGTTCTCTGGGACATTCTTAATGTTCTGATCAATCACAAACTAACAGTTCCTTACTGTTCCTTGGATTAGGACACAAAGGAGGAATACTTATAATTGGGGTTAAAATAAAGAGAGACACTTCAGCCAAATTTCTGGCACTGTCCTAAGCACTTCCTCCTCCTGATGAAACACAATGTAAGAGGCTGAATTTTTGTCAACCAACGACAGGAATTTAAGTGAGAGAGGCCCAGAAAATTCTTCGTAATGGCTCAAATGGTAGTTTGGCAAGAGTGTTCAGGACCAAGTCTAGTTATGGCAGGGGTTCTCAAACTGGGAGTCGGGACCCCTGAGGGGGTCGCGAGGTTATTACATGGGGGGTTACCAGCTGTCAGCCTCCAGTGCAAACCACGCTTTGCCTCCAGCATTTATAATGGTGTTAAATATATAAAAATGTTTTTAATTTATAAGGGGGGGGTCACACTCAGAGGCTTGCTGTGTGAAAGGGTTCACCAATACAAAAGTTTGAGAACCACTGAGTTATGGTGACCTGAAAAGCAGCCTCAGATTCTTCACAGTCTTATGGAAACATATGACAAGAATATGCCCCTAATGGCATTTTATCTAAAGGACCCTGTAAGGTTACAATTACTGCTAAGTGGATTTTCAGTGAACTGGAACTTATTCCTAAATCCAGAGCACCCCCCAAAAATATCCAGAACACTGGGGACTATAGCATTGGAGTAAATCCTTCAATTGTCACACCAAGTAGAGAATACTTGCCAAACCAACACATGATGCACTGTGGTACATTGTTACAGAGAGATCATCAAAACTGAAATTACCATATATTTTTCTGTGGTCATTGACAATGGGCCATGTATTAGGATATGTGCTGTCAATGCATCCCAGAATTGAGGCTCTGCTGCCAGATTTACCATGTCTGCATACTGAGATGTTACAGCCATCTATGCTATTTTTCAGTTTTCTACATACAGTGCCAACTGATCGATCTTTCTATTATTTTTCTGCCCATGTCAGAAGCAAGTTCAACACCTCATTAGCTGTGTCCTTGCTTCTTGGACTTCTTGACAATTTTATGTATCAAACAATGATCATGTTGCATGTCTGTACCTAACTGGTACC